TTTTATTGAACGACTATTTTGGATTTTTGACGATTTTTCCCCTATGGTATACATGATGAATAAATGTAATAAATATAATTTGTGAGAAAAAAGTGTCCAACAAGTCCGGGGGGGGGGGGGGGTCCTGTCCAGAAGCACCGGTAATGTGATGTTGTCATCTTGGTCCTTTCCATCTCGATAACAAAATTCAGGATACCTAGCTTCAAAACACCAGGAAATATTTACCCCTTGGCAAACACATATCATCGAGAGCCTGCCTCTTATTTTTTCACAGACAGCACTTTTACTTTAAATATATATATGAAATGAAAGCATGAAAAATTCGGTCTTTCCCTCCACTTTTGTTAAAGTACCGTCAAATAAAGGTAAGGTATGTTTGAGTTTTCGTACTGAAAGAAAATGATATACTGCCCAGTAGATGCTGTTTTTTTTAATTTTATTTTATCTTTTTTTTATTATTAATTTTTTTTGCATACGGAATAGTCATATTAACCCTTTGTGTGCTGACTTGTTTTACGTGCACTGTAACCTCAGGACTGAGTTGTTTTGTAATATCAACAAAATTATCACAATGGTGTACTAAAATGCAAATATCTAAAATTGTTGACAACCAATTTACTTGAAATTTGGCAAATATATAGCAAATGTTGTGTTTTTTAATATTTACTATTTTTTTTTAGAATCTAATATTTTATGTTGCCATGGAAACCAAATTTTCAAAAAAAAAAATTTTTAAATGACTTTTTAGCATTTTAACTATATTTTTCAGAGAAAATATTGCACTTTGATGAAAAAAAATAAACCAATCGCTTTAAAAATTCAACTTTAGTTTAATATTATGCAAAAAAAAATTAATTTAAACAATAACTCAATGATCAAGTCAATGTTTTATATATATATATATATATACCGTTATGTTGTGAAAAGTCATTTTATACTTATCTGAGTAAGGGATATATTCATGTAGGTTTAAGTGAATTCTGATTCAAGTTAATGGATTTTTTTTTCAGATTTTAACTAAAAAGAGTATAAATTGAAGATTCGAGTAGCCTGTAAATATAAAACCAGTGATTATTTTAAGAAATATGGGCAATCATATAAGAAAGTATGATCCTTAAAGAATATGTAGTTTTTGAGGTTGGGAAATCTTGGAGCAAATTGGCACAACAATGAACTAATTGCTGTTACTTGTATTCATTTTCAAATTAAAGCAGTCAATATGTTAAATAAATAAAAAAATAATAAAATAACATTTACACTATGTTATAGAGGTCTTATTTTCTAATGACTGGTATCTAACAGCCCTAAATATACTCTAGTAATTCTCAAATCTTTTTTTTTAATTTTGCTTTTATTGAAGAAAATGCATTTCTCCATGTTATTTGTAAAGTCAACTTTCCTCCCACAGTACTTTTCACTCTGTAAGAAATGTGGCATTTATTTTAGAAGTTTTATTCCTGGCTGGCAACAATAATTGCCAGCAGGAAAACTAGTACTTTAAAATTAGAAATTTAAGCACCTATAACAGTCATTTATAATGTTTTCAAAAATGACTTCGTTCAATGTGGTCACTGGTGAATAAAAGTTTTGATTTTTTTCAATTGATTTTAGTTAATGATGGTTGACAGATATGTACCATAATATCAATCAATATATTATGAAATACTTTTAAGTTTATGCAAGTCTAATGGTATGGGTCATGGATATAGGCCAAGTAAGCTCAGTCAGTAGAGCATCTGACCAGTGATGCAGGGGCCCCTTCTTAGATTCACGGTCCAGCCGTGCATTTTCTCCTTCCTTCTTACATATTTGATGCTATTGACCCCTCTGGATTTGCAAGTGAAAGTCCTGTCAGGTGTGTCTGCAAGGATAAAGATAACTTTAAGGAGGGATATGTAATGGTTGTGCTATGGGTATCAACCTGGGTAGCTCATTCGGTAGAGCACCTGACTAGTGAAGCCGGGTTCCTGTGTTCAATTCCTGGTGCAACCATAGTTACCATACATTTTCTCCTTTCCTATTACACAAGTTTTAAATGTGCCTGAATTTTTACTTCAACAAAAAATATTATTCCTAATACTGTATACAGGGAAATTTTCGCCCCCGTTTTATTTTTTACCCTTTCACCCTCTCCTTGATTGGATGAATTCAAATTACACCTCATAATTTCCTAAACAGAACTATGACTGGGTGAATTTAAAACCTAGGGCAAAATTGTTCACAAGTTCAAAAGGGTGAAAATAACACGGGGCGAAAATAACCCTGTATACAGTAATGAAATTTATATTTTATTTCCACTATGGGATTTCTTTGTATTCTTAGTAACTATTCATATTTTCATATTTAAAAATAAACATATCTTTGGAGACCAAAATGTAATATTTGTTGATAAGTAATTGTACAGGAATTTGCATTTTTGAAGAAGAAAAAATTTGACCATCATTAAAAAAAAATTCTCACAGCAAGTCTTAGCCTTTTTCTGTATTCATTTACTGTTACATATCTAGAAGGGATGGAATGTAGAAGCTTCTTGTGCCTTATAAATTTGTAAACTAGAGGACATATTACATATTAATAGGTGAAAACTTGTACAGTGTGTACTTTTGAGGTTGAGAAGTGCAATTCCTACAGTAAAACTCAGTTATAACGAAGTCACTGGGACCTATGAAATTACTTCACTATATCTGTAATTCATTATAACTGTATAAAGAAATCAATTAAATTTATTTAGCTGGCTATCCAAATTGACTTCGCTATATCCGTAAATTCGCAATATTCGTGTTCGTACTAAACAAGTTTTGCTGTATTACCCAGTCTTTATTGTAATTTATTGAACAGATGGACATGCAAGTCCATACAACATGTACAATTTACAAATTACTCATTCTAAAGACTCTGATCTCCTTCTTATGCCTACAAAAATGACAATTCATCTTAATTTTAAACTGTAGAGATACCTTTTATTTAACCAGTGAATTTTATATTTTTGTGTGTGCATGTATAGGTTGGGGCAGTCTCACTGTTTTTGGTTTTTAATAAAATAAAAAGTGGAGGAAATGTGCAATTTCATCCACATGCTTTATTCTGGCAAAATTCCATTTTAAAGAAAAAGAAAATTTCTCCCTGATACATGTTCTTACACTTGGTTTAAAAAAAATTCTGATACATGTAGTACCAATTATTTTCACTTACTAATTAGGTCCCATGCAAACTAGAGTATGTAAATGCCTTGAAGAAATCTAACTCTTAAGATACCAAAGATCCCAGATCATGTTTCGTTTTGAAATTATTGAGAGTCTATATAATCCTCATCAAGGAAATAAAATGGTATTTTATTACTTACTGAAATAAAACAAATACCACAGTTTACACAAATGACAGTCATTTCAGGGAAAATCAGCACTTCAAAATTTTTTCATCACTTTTTACCATTTTCATGTATATGCACATGATCAAATGCATCAATGCATCTTTTCTGATAACTAAGCTTACATTTGAAGACACTTTATAGAAAAAAATCAACTTTATTTTTAATTTTTAATTGTGCTAAAAATTTTACAATTTATCATATACTGTTATGAAAAAATATTTGAAAGTTTTCCTAAATAGATGGAACATCAAGCAGCTTTAAATCAGAATTTTTAGGTGTAGTTAGGGCCACTTAATTGACTCAATGGTTGTCAATTATAAAATTCATAGTGTATATTTCGAATACGTGTATCATGAATTAATTTTGCTTGATCACAAAAATATGTTGATGGATATATATTCTCTATATATCTCTTTTCACTCACTTATTAATGCAATAACTCATTGGAAAATTTTCTACAATGTTCAAGGTCCTCCACATTTATTACTTTTATTAGATGGAACCTTTTTTATCTTTCAACATTTTTGTAATGGGTCTTTAGATTAAAAAAAATGTTCACTTATTTATTTGTTTATTTATTGTTTTAAAAAAATGCTCTTAATTAACAAGATGCTTCAAATTATTTTTTGTTAACCTTTATTTCAAAGCAAAGCTTGATTGACGTATGTAAACAACGTGCACAGAAAAACGTCTGTGACTTGCCAGGTTCAATCTCGCGCATTATTGTTTTCATTTAGACGATGTATTGTATGTCTACTTACAAAACACCAAATAAACAAATAATAACTACCGTATGTCCAAAATATAAAACTCTGCCGTCCATATAAGCTCTCGATATGCTTCAGACTGAAGTTCAGGTTCAGTAGCATGTGCATCCTACTTTCGTTTTAACAGGAAAAACATCGCAAGGTTAAGGTCAAGTCAAGTTAACCAGAGTTTTTCTCACAGGCGCTTGTTTCATACAATAGGCTAGTTTTTATACTATACAATAACACAAGGTATCCATCTTTTTCGAGACCAAAAATATAGGTCACCAGATCAAACCCCCTTTCTATCTATTGTCCGCAGCTGGCCCCCCAAAAAACACATGTAATGGTTAGCGGAACCCCCCTTCTTGAACCTCATGTATATTTCCTTACCTCACCCCCTCGAGAACCTTGACACTGGCCATAAAATTACACGCTTCGTCGATCGAAGTCAAAAGTACACATCTAAACAGCTCTGAACTTCCGGTTTGCTGTATGCGATATGATACACGCGATCTCATTGGCTACTGATATTCTCGGGTGTTTTCCATGCAAATGTATAAAGACACAAGAGAATCCCCAAATTTCACTTGGCGCAAAATTTAAAATCACTATTTTTTCGAGGTTTCTGTCAAAGATGACAACCTTTTGGTATGTTTTAAAATTGATTTGATAGTAATTATTTTTAATTGAATATTTGTTAGGACCTTCTCTACATCAGCACAAATTTTTTTTTTGGACAATTGATAAAAATATATTGAATAAAAGTTAGGCCTAAAAAGTTTTAATATTGATCTTTTTCACTGCATTGTATGGCACGTGGTATTAACCCCCCCCCCCCCCATCTTCCCCCAAAATGTTCAAAACAACACAGAGTCAGTGAATAGAAATCACTGTTTATTATTTCAGTTGAGTAAATATATGTAAATAACCTATAAACATGGTAAATAACATGTTCATTCAATTTATCTTTGCCTTTATAAATGTCTAGAATTGTTTACAAATTGAGTAAAAATCAGCCTTGTCTGCATGTAATTGTGATACACAAATTTCAAAGTAAAATATTTTAAATGTACTTTGAGATACAAATATTTTAAACTCAATTTTTACATTGCCTTTTAGGCTCTCAGAACACATTCTATTATCTGAGCAGCATAATACACCAGTTCAAGAATTAATTGAGAAAATAAATCAATCTTGTGGAGAAGATGAAAAAATTAGCACAAAGACTCTAACACTTTTGTTGCCTACACTTTTTCCAAATATTGTGAAATCAAAAGTCAGACTGAGATGTGAGGACAAAAATATGAAAGTCAGTTTCAGAATGGAAATCAATGACAAAATCAATTCTACAGCACTTAGTTTCTCTGATATTCAAAATAATGTGCCAGTTGATTGGTTTATCATGCACAAAACCACTACAGAAATATCCTTGGGACATTTACTACCAGCAAAAAGTAATGGACAGGGTATTATACTTCAGGTTTCCCTAGGTAGTGATGGGTCTGTGTCAGCAGCAATAGCCAATCAGACACTTGATTTGAAACAGTATGGAATTCCTCATCACATTCTTTACACATACACATCAGTACCAGCCCTCTTCAGGTGTTTTAAAGTCATACAACCATGTCTAGGTTATACTCATGATGAAATTAAAACTGGTCAAATGTTATTAAATTCAAAAACTTCCCGAGAACTTATCACACTTGAGGAAAAATCCTACTTTGCACTTCGTTCCAAAGTTTGCACTAGAGGGGTATATCTCTCATCAACTGCATGCTTGAAATGTAGAGCATGCTTTTCTTCAACAAAAAGAAAACTTGATCAAGACAAAGAAAATGTTAGTCCTGATACTGATAAATCACTAGATGAAACTTATTCTAAGTTGAAAATGCTAGCTCCTAATCTATCTGAGAAACAAATAAAATTAATGGAATCGCAAATCAAAGCATCAAACACGAGTAAAAAGGGTATGCGTTGGGATAAAGATATCATTAGCATGTCAATAAGCATATACAATAGGAATCCGGGTGTTTACAGAGAAATTGTACAGCAGAAATGGCTTCAACTTCCTTCAGAATCTCTGGTTGGTCTTTACAAAAATTGTGTGAAACAGGGCCCTGGAATTTTACCTGACATGATGACATGGATGAAAAATGAAGCTTTCCGCCAAAACGTACCCACATCAGGATATTATGGAGGCATCATTCTGGATGAAATGGCCATCCAGGAGGATCTGCAAATAGTAAACACCAAATATGGAACACAGGTCCATGGCCTTGCAGATAGTGATGAAAATGTGAAGAAAATGAAAATGTTGAATGCAGGAAGTGTGAGTGAAAATTTAGCAAATCATGTACAACAATACCTCTTTAATGGATTTACAGGTTTTCGTTGGCCATTTGCCAACTTTCCCAACCGACAAGCTGACCCGGCAGAAATATTTGTCACCACTTGGAAGTGTATAGATGCACTAACTGATTACGGATTCTCACCTCTGTATTGCTGCATGGATGGATCCTCAAATAATCGAGCTTTCCTGAAGATGCATTTTGATGGAGATCCAGTATCCTCCAAAATGATTGCTTCATTTTACAGAGACCCTACAAAACAGATCATTTTTATCATGGATCCACCTCATTTACTTAAGAAAATTAGAAACAGTGTTCTTAGCAGTGGCTTTCTACAAACACATCAACGCCTCCTTACTGTGAATGGAAAGTTCATTCTTTGGAAGATGTGGGTCGACGCATACACCTGGGATCGACTTAACACCTTCAAAACTCACAATAAACTAACAAATGAACATATCTTTCCGAATGGGGCCCAAAAAATGAGAAACAAACTTGCATTTCATTGTTTAAACGATGACATGCTGAACCTCATGACACAGTATGCATCAACGTTGTCACCAGCAGGGCAAGAAGATCTCAGTCAGGCAATCGAGTTCCTCAGAAGAACCAGTTTCTTGGTTCGTTTCTTCATGGACTCCCGACCTATAAAAGAGAAAAATGATGAACGACTGACTGCGTTTAGGGAGGTGTACGATTGGTTTAAGGCCTGGGAGAATTCCGAATGTGAAGGCAAGGATGTACACAAGAGGTACAAAAGTTTGCTTACTATGGAAACGCGAGAGGATTTAGATTACCTTTTCCATGGATTTATGTCACTTGTTGACATGTGCGTTGACAAGCTACACATTGATTTGATTCCCAGTCGCTTAAATAGCGATATAATTGAAAACATCTTTTGCCAACAGAGAGCCCTTTATCACGGTGCAAACACTAATCCCAATTACAATGAATACCGGACTGGTATCAATAGTATTATTTTAGGACAGACCACCACCTCTAGAAAATCTAATGTGGGGATGAAGGAGCCAGCAAAACCATTTGCACTGGGGAAACCACTTATGTAAATAATGGACTTTTATGATTGTAATTGCCAGTAAACATATTGCACTAAAACAATGATTAGTTGATCATTCACATTTATAAAATAAGAACAGTTACAGTTTACTTGTTAAGATCTTAATGCATTTATGATAAGTTTAGTACTTACCTGAATATTCTACTATCTAGGAGTTACCACATTACTGGAATCTTGTTCATTCCTAAAAATACACAAAATAAATTTACTGGTATGAAATAAATTTCTTAAGGATTTTATCAAAGACAAATGCATTAATTTATTATATTTGCAAGAAATTGTCAATTAAAATCTGTTTTCTTCCTCATTATATCTGAGCCATTACTAAACATTTTTAAGATCAGAGAATAATGATATGTTTTAGCTTTTTGTGTACAGTAATAAAATTTACCTGACATTCTGCACAATACCAGTCAAAATTTTCTATGTCTGCCCACTGATCATCTGTTAGAGCTGCACAAATAGGATCATACCATCTATCACACAAATCACAAGCAATCCAATTTTCACCTTCAACATATACTTTGTGGCATTTGGGACATGTTACTTGTTCTGATTCTTTGGATTTTCTCTGTTTCCTTTTCCCCGATGCCGCTTTAGATTTAGATCTTCGTTTCCTTGGCACTTTTTCTCTTTTTTCCATTTGACTGGTACTTGGCATCTCCGAAGTCTTATCCTTGTTTGTCTTCTTGGAACTGTCTGAGCTGGTTTTCTCATTACCTTGACCAGAGACAACTTTTTTCCTAAGCCTTTCAGATTTTTCTTTTCCATATTTCTGGAGTATGTCTTTCCTGAACTCATTATTTCCAATTTTTAGGAATCTGGTGACAATGTCTTCATACAACTCCACTTTGCTTGCCTGAAGTGAGTCCTCTTCTATTAATAATCTCAGACTGGGATTGTCAAAGTCATTAAAAAGAATTTCCCAGATGCTTTTTAACTCTGTGTCCTCTTTAAGATCCTTGTCACAAAGTGTCAGACATGATGCACCATGTAAAGCAAATGTCACATCATTGTGAAACTTAAGTCTCCTTTTACTTAGCTCCAAGAAGAATTCAAATACACTGTCAGTAACAATTGTTAGACCATGTGAAATGTTTTGTTTTCTTTCAGTTTCAAGCAAAGACTTTGGATACTTAGAAGATATCAAGCTGTCCTTTATACACAGATGGTCTAACATTTTCACTTTTAAGTATGAATTAGATGACTTGTCTTTATTTTTATACAAGGACTTTCTTGTTAAATTCATAAAATGAAACTTTGACTTGGCAACACATGCACCACCAATGTAGCGTATTTTACCATGGCTGGTATCAGATATTGTCATTGTTGAGTCCCCTTTTCCAGCTTGAGAGATTGCCAAATGAGACGTGTGTTCCTCTATAATCGAAGATGATACTTGATCAAATATATTTCTGCATAACTGAAATTCCTGTGTTGTAGCTTTTCTCCCAAAATAAGCCTCAACAAGTTTTTTGTATTTTTCAGAGGTTGAGAACTTGTACACTTCTGAATAATAACATGTCCAACTTTTGCTATTTGTCTTTAGATTTTCACCACCAGTTGTGTGCACCTTTTGAAAAATATCCATAATTTCAGTTTTTAAATTATTTTCAAAATTTGTAAGAGAAACTTCGTTGGATTCTGCAGTACAGAGTCTGTCTATTTCTTGAATTTCGTCATGACTGAAATCCGATAATTGATTTTCCTCGTCGACATCATATGTGATTAATTCTACGCAATGTTGATCCTGTTTACCTGTAGTTGCAGATAACTCTATTTTACAGCACTTTAAATCTTCATTAAAGTCAATACACACATTGTTGTCACAGAATTCATACACTTGGGAATTGTGTTTCAGCACTGAATTTGGGTTAAAGTTAATAATTCGAAGATTTCTCTTGATTGTTGTTCTTCCTATTGCCACCCCTAACTGACCAGGGCTGAAGATATTGTCCCCATCCACTTCTATTCTGTCAAGGGTGAGGCCTTGGGCCTTGTGGATTGTTATGCTGAAAGCAAGGCATAAAGGAATCTGGATACGTGTTGCAATTACTTTTTCCTGTGCAGTGCAGTAAACGCTAAATGATTCTGGTCTTAACTTTACTTCTTTTGACAAACTATCAAAATACACAGTGACATCATTAGCAGAAAGTTCTGTGATTTTCCCTCTGAGTCCATTAACTAAGTTATCACTTAAATTCTTCAAAAGTAATACTGGACAGTCTTTTTTCAGGTACAGTATTTCTGGTACAGACAAAGAATTTAGATATTTTTTTTCACCATTATCTTCAGCCACATAATTCATTGTTTCACCTTGCATATCAATCAATTTAGAGGCATTATAAACGTCACAGTCAAATTTTTTTGCACAAAGTCGTACTGGAGGTGGTCCTGGGGGTAGTGGTCTTTTCATTCGCCTAAGAAGTGCTAGAGACTCATCGGTCATATTTCCTTTCGAAACTTCATTTATACAGTTAATAAAGTCAATTTCATTTTGTCTTTTTACTTCGTTTAAAACGATACAGTGAGTAAATGTGTTTGTAAATCTTTCTGATAAAAAGCAAAATTCGCCTCTGTCGCCCTTTAGAGGATCAGGCACAGGTGGTAATTGAAAAAAGTCACCAATGACAATCACTTGAATTGAGCCAAAATACGTGTCACTGTCCCTAATTTTCCTGCAAACATGCTCCAGGGTATCAAATAGCTTCAGACTAAGCATAGATATTTCATCTATTATTAACGCATCAGTGTTTGAAATTGCTCTTTTCTGATCAAAGTAACTTTCATCTAAGAGAATTTTTTTGCACAGTGTCTCAGAGGAATCCCTCCCATCTCCTATCCCACTCCAGCGGTGAATCGTTGTCCCGCCTATATTTAATGCAGCGATGCCTGTAGTTGCCGTCAAGGCCACTTTTTTCCCACATTCTTCTAAGGATTTTTTTAATTCCTTTCCTAGAAAAGTTTTGCCCGTTCCACTTTGGCCAAGCACTGCCAAATTATGGCCTTCTTTGGCTTTAAGTAATACTAAATTTTGTTTTTCGGAGAGCATCTCAGCATGTCAACCATGTGTTTACATTTACATTTGTGTTTTTTTGGTTTTCTTTACTAGAGAGCTCTAGAATATCAGTAGCCAATGAGATCGCGTGTATCATATCGCATACAGCAAACCGGAAGTTCAGAGCTGTTTAGATGTGTACTTTTGACTTCGATCGACGAAGCGTGTAATTTTATGGCCAGTGTCAAGGTTCTCGAGGGGGTGAGGTAAGGAAATATACATGAGGTTCAAGAAGGGGGGTTCCGCTAACCATTACATGTGTTTTTTGGGGGGCCAGCTGCGGACAATAGATAGAAAGGGGGTTTGATCTGGTGACCTATATTTTTGGTCTCGAAAAAGATGGATACCTTGTGTTATTGTATAGTATAAAAACTAGCCTATTGTATGAAACAAGCGCCTGTGGTTTTTCTGCTAAAATATCGAAAATTTCTAAGTAATTTTAAGTGTACTAACACAAATTTATTAGAATTATTGATATTAAACTATTTCTTGGAATTATTTCTTTATTTCCCTTTATATTTGAGCAAGTTAGTAGATATTTATTACATGCGCGTTTTTTCCCTGTTTCCAAAAATAGCGGACTGACTTTCATCGTAACAAACGCCAAACACCTTCACTTTACATCACAATTTCACAAACAATTCGCATATTTTCACATCTTAATTACCTATTTTTCAATGTGTTGTAGTTGTATAATACATTTTGATAGATTCTGAATAATTCACAGCTCATTTATACGTTTTATACGACGTTTTATGTGACGAAGCGCTAATTTCAGACTCAGACCCAACATATTGGGTTCCCGCACGCAAGCGTTTGTGACGTCAGACCCAATATATTGGGTTCCCGCACACAAAGGGTTAAAGATGCATTGGATAATTCTCACAAGATTTATGATTTAAATAATACACACATAATTTTTTACTGTAATTAAATTGATTGTAACTGAAACTTTAACCCCCTCCCCTAACAGATCTACTTCAACAGTTTACTTATCTTATATATCTTTTTTTCACACAAATTCAACTTATTTGCAAGAAAAGTCTATAGTTTTATGTTTTAAATTTTGCAAGACTACGTTATAATTATATAATGTTTAATTTTATTCGTAAAGTTTGAAACTTTTTGTCCTTCATCTCATGCATAACCCGAGATCTCTTTCACAACTGAATGATCGCATGCACAAGCAATGTTTTTTTCTTTGAATATTTGTCAAATTAAACACATATAGAAGTCCCAGTTTTGGTGGATAGGATGCACTTGTTGCATACTCATGGTGGACACTGAATTTTCAAGGTTGGTTGAGATTAAAACGAATTGTCGGCGAATACTGTTTTCAATCAGCGTTTTCGCTCTACCAGCCCTTGCTTCAAAACAAATTTAGTCGCTATTCGACAATCACTGCATTTTATGAGAGTGTAAAATTAAAGAAAAATAAATTGCTCATGGAATCACATTCTTATATTTTAATAAAAATATCAATTATTGCCTGAATCGAGTCCATTTACTACCTGTGCACTGGAATTATTCGCATCAACTGCACAACCGGAAATCGATCTCTTTTGATTGTTATACACAACTGCTGGTTGTGCAAGTGATCGATTAGCAGACGTGACTAAGGTACACAAAATAGTGCATTGTGTTTGATTTTGATGAACGGTTATGCCATGGTTACTAAAATAGAATTTTCTGTGAAATTTCTTTAAAACACTACTACTCCTACAATATTGATCTGATTTCAATATAACTTGCCACACAAGTAGAATACACTAAGATACATAAAATAATATACCGGATTTTGATTTCGATGAACGATGTTGCCATGGTTACTAAAAATAGAGTTTTCTGTGAAATTCCTTTAAAACGCTACTCTTTCTACAGTTTTGGTCTGATTTCAATATAACTTGGCACACAAGTAGTCTACACTACGATATATAAAGTAGTGCATCGGATTTTGATTTCGATGAACGGTATTGCCATGGTTACTAAAAAAATAATTTCCTGTGAAATTCCTTTAAAATGCTACTCCTCCTACAGTTTTGGTCTGATTACAATATAACTTGGCACACAAGTAGACTACACTAAAATATATAAAATAGTGCATTGGTTTTTGATTTTGATGAACAGTGTTGCCATTGTTACTAAAAAGAGAAATGTCTGTAAAATTCCTTTAAAACACTACTCCTTCTAAAGTTCTGATCTGATTGCAATGGCCTCTTTTCTCATCCTTTGTTATAAGTACAAACCAGTAGAGCTACAGTCTCGACAGAGACTTCTGGTTGTTTTTATGACATCACAAACTAGTAGGATTTTGCATTATTTTTCAGAAAGAGGTCAAAATGGACAAAATTTTAACAATTTTAGCTATAAAATTTATAGAGCGCAGGCATGCTCAAGAATAATTTTTATATATATTTCATTGATATTATCATTCTACACATTATATCAAAATATTGAGCTTAAGCAGACCTGTGCTAGGTGACTTTTACTCAAAACATCGCCGTAATATATACCCTTTTCTGGAAAAACAATGGAAATTTTAAATTTACGTCATTTTCCTGACGTCATTTTAAACATACGACGTCATTGCTTATGAAGATATTCAGTGCTTTGAAGTCTGCAGATATCCCCCCATTTTAGAACATAATTATATATTTCTCCATCAACGTTTGATTTTGGGGGAAAATGTTGGTCATTATCTAATAAAGTCCTTTCCAAAACAGGCTGGCTGGCTATGACAAAAATAATAAATCTTATTTTATAGAATTGAATTTGGAGGAGAAGAGGAGGGGGGAGGGCTTGTATGTTTTACTGATATTTTTTGAGTTTTGTTAACTGTCAGTTTATCATGGAATTGTTATTTTTGAAAAGATATAGTCTGTGAACATCAATATGTATGCAAATAATAAATAGTGGGCACTTCATGAAAATTTGTTTGCACACGCCATTACAATTATAAGACTCTATCTTTTAAAAAATATTTACAATTTTTTAAACTCCCTGCTTTGTCTTTAAATGTGATTTATATTCAAAATCTCTTTATTATCCTTCAGGCAAGTTTCAATTAATGGGAGAGCCATTGCAGCAGCTGCTACATTTAACTGTTCCACGAGAGTGTGAATTTTGATTTTTGCTAATGACTTTTCCCTTGCATGGCATATTCAACATTTGTGAGGTCAAAAAACTTAATTTAATGTTTTGTCCTCTGTACCCATTTTGATGTTGATGCCAAAGAATTCCACACATTTTGTCAGCAAAATACATGTGGGATGTAAATATACAAGTAAATACCTTAAAACTTTGGTTGAAATGATCATATGAAAACAGATTTATTTTGTGTACCAGGACTTTGAATATGGTGAAATAGATGGGGAAAAATGTCGACCCGGGACCTCTGGCTAACCATGCGAGTGCTCTAATCACTGAGCTACCGGGCCAGCGTACCCAATCTTTGTTACAATGGTTTACTAGGCACCTTCTTGGGATTAATATGGTCAAAATTTGCCCACAAAAAGAACACTTTGTTTTGAATGGCTTTCTAGCCACAGTTACCTTGAAACTTGCCAATTTATTGTCAAGTGGTGCCAACTTAGCGTTGTGTGATTTTCATTCATACTGTATTAAGAATCTGAACATGGGCCATTGTTTGTAATGCTGTTCCACTTTAAGGTTTAAATATAATTTGATATGTGTATTGTTAAAAGTTCTTACATATTGTGATCATTTTTACTTCACTTGATGTTCTTTTTTGTTTACTTTGTTCATGTGTACATATATTATAATGAATTTAATTCTGTTTTTAGCTCAGCTGTTGAGCTGTTCTGTTCACCTGTTATCCGTTGTCTTTCCCTCTATCCATCTGTCTGTGAACTTATTAAATTTTCACCTTCTTCTCAAGAACCACTGGGCCAATTTTAAACAAAGTTGGTATAAATCATCCTTGAATGAAGGGGAGTTTAAAATGATAAAATGAATGGCCAAGCCTCCATCCATTCATCATCGCAAACCACGGGTTTTGAGTCCAGAAGCTTCCTCAAGATAGAGAGAATCGATGTGAATCATCCGTTGGTTACCGACGATGCCATCCATTGGGAAATAATCATGAAAAGACAAAAATAAGGGGATGGGGGGTTCGTTAGATTACTTCTTTTCAAGAACCACTGATCCAGAAAAGCTGAAACTATTGAGGAAGCTTTTTTAGGTAGGGTAGATTCTACATTGTTTAAATCATGGCCCTTGGGGTAAGGGCGGCCACAATAGGTAATCAAAGTTTTACACTGAAACATATAAGAAAATCTTTAAAAATCTTCTTCTGAAGAACTACTGGGTTAGAAAGCTTAACCTTATGTGGAATATTCCTTAGATTCGAATTTGTTCCCTGGGGTAGCGTAGGGCCACAAATCAGTGTTACAAGGAGAAAAATCTGATGAAAAACAGCTGAGCAAAAGGGACTTGGGTGAGCTTTGTGGGCCTCTTTTTAAAAAGAATATTTTTTTGCTGCTTCTTTGCAAGTTTAAAGCTAGTTTTGAATGGTACACAAGAATGCTGCTGTTTAGAAGTGAATTACTAGTATCAGTCTTACTTATTTCAGTGGAACAAGCCAAAGAGAAAGCTTGCATTAGACAACAATCAGCACCTCACTTCAACCTAGGCAGACGAATGACCACCAGGATGCAGTTCGGAGCATTCAGTAACATTTTTCCAGGTTTAGTATCCATTACGTTTTATCTTAATTAAAACCCCTGCTATTTAGTAATTACAATGTAGATAAAAAAATAAGGTTTTTTGGACAGAATTTACATTGCCCAAGGAAAGTAAAGTCCATGCAAAATGACTTCGATCCTGTTTTTCATAAAAAACTATGAAAAAGCAGTCTGTGTGAACCAGATTGTCATATATGGCATTTAGTTTAATTTTTTCTTTTTATTTAAACATGTTTTGTCAAGGAATGATGAGCTCATAAATGCAAATATTTAGCATTTTTATATACTGATGAATATCAGTGTTTTCTCTTTATTTCAAAGTAAAGGATTAGAGATGAATTGTAACAGGCTTTGAACCGAGGTTCTGTAGACCTTACAACAATTAAACTTTGATTTTTTTTAATTTGAAACAGCATTTTTGTCAATTGAAGCGGTCAATTTGGACGGTAGCCGGTTCTTAGGGAAAACACTGAATATAAAGAGTTTTTTATTCTAAGACCTTATTTATTTAATTAATACAGGAATTGAGGCGTATTAAAATGATTTTTTTTTTTTTTTTAGGAAAGAAGGTGTTATGTAAACATGCAATTACAGAAATTAATTGATGAAAATGTTAATTTTTTTTTTTACAAAGGAGGTAACATCAAGGAGTTTACAGATGAGGAGAGTAATTTTACTGCCCTCCTGCAGAAAGCCATGGACCTGGAGGGTATCGACCGAGACACGGTGTACCAGTTAGTAGCCCTGTTGATGAAGGTTGGTTTGCAGTACTGTAGGCTATCAGTCATTGTAATAAACAAATTTGCTAACTGTATATTTCAATAAAGGTCTATATTCTTTCATAGTTAATATATGCCATCCAAAATCAAACCATGCAATGAATTAGTTTTAGCCATTTTTTAACTTAATTATTTCAGTTTATGGTAACAGTGAAACCAAACGAGGACAAAAAGAAAGATAACAGAACTCAGGTTAGTTAATCAATTGTCAGACAAACCTACTCTGTAGAAATTTCAGTTCCCACTCCCAAGATGGGACAAAAATATGTACAGAATTAATTTATTATTTACTGTATTCTTTTCATTTTAATTTGTAGAACATTGTACTTCGACATCTGAATGTTCTCTTGGGATACAATCAGACAGAAAAATCCTTCAGTGTCCCCCCTCATAAACTCAGGTACAGTGCAGTTACTTGATATATATTTACATGTATAATATAGAAATAATTCTCCAAATCCATTTCTTTTCATGTTAACAAACTTGACTAATTTTCTTACATAATTCTACATTTCAGATCATCTGCTGTCTTTAATGCTTTCCTGAGTGGGGTTCCATTTGTAAGCTGTTCATTTTGTTTTGTGTTATTTAAAAATCTTTCATAATAAAAATTGTTTAATTTGCTTCTTAGCTTCATAAGAATGTCTCAGATACAAAGAATACTGAGAGTAATACTTCTGTTTAAATGCAAGTAAGATTTTTTTCCAGTGTGTCAGTCTTGATGATATGGAAGTCACTAAAAATTTCAAATTTTTCCTCACTTTTCAACTCCACTGTTCTTTTGTAGGTCTTGGATCGTAATTTTGACCTGGGGAACCAGATCCTCCCCATCACCCTGTTGTTACTGCAGTATGGACCCTCCCCCCAGAGATACGCCAGTGACTACCAGCCCCCTAACTACACACTGTGGTACATGGAGCCCTATACCCGCATCTCCTGGCTAACCACACTGCTTGTTATACTATACAAGGTTGGTACAAGGTGCTACTTTACTAAGGTAGTTCCATAGTTCAGTACACAGGTTGTTTTATGCTTTGAAGTGGTGCTATAAAGGTGATAATATACTGTATAAAGCATGTTACATGGTAAAGATTTGGAATTCAAATGGTAGATGGTATAATTGTTCACTATTGGTACAAAGATGTCACAGTGCTAAAATTGAAGAAGGTTTCTGTATCGTTTTTATTATGATTAAGTAATTAAGACATGGTTGCCAATGTAATTTGTATAACATTTTACATAAATACAGCCTCTGTTTACAGTATCAGTTCTACACATCCCCAGTATCTGCCATAATTCAGACCCTGGTAAGAGTTGTGATCAACACAATTGATGCTCAACATCACCGCTGTAAGAAATCTCACGAGGAGGGGTTCCTTCCACCCAGTCCTTCTATGCTCAGGAGTAAAGGTACTGTGAAAGCTGGTAAAGAAACATAAACAAGTTTAATCAGTGATAGAAATGTGTTGAGATTGTGATGATCTATTACTTACATGTCTTGAATCAACAGTTTAAGTGCTATATCTGATTCAGCATTTGTGTTGATATTTTTCCAGATTTCTTATGTTTCTTTTTTTTCTCATTTAGAATCATACCAGATTCTTTGGCAATTCCCAACAAAGTGAAAAAAAAGCTTTATTTTCTTTCAGATTCCACAAAATTGAATGACTTGGAAAAAATTCAGGAAACAGACACACCTCCACAGAGTCCAAAGGTCAAGGACACAGTAGAGGTGAACTTGATGTCACCTCCAGAGTACAGCACTGTCCAATACAAAACAAATAACACAGGGGGTGTGTCTCCTTCAGAGGAAGATCAAGGACAGGAGGTGTCTGAAACCCCCAAACGACCCTCCAAGCAAAGGAAACCAAGACGAATCATAGAGTACACAGAGCCAGAGGGGGAGAAAAGTTTTAAGTCACGGAAACAGTCACCAAGGGTATAAAGCTTGACTAAATGACTTATCTTCTCTAACTCTTGTACTGGAAAAAAGGGCATTTTTAAAAATTTGCAGTTTTAATGTGTTTCAAACATTCTTTTTTAGAATAATAGAATTAGTTACATACTTTATTAATGAAACAAAACATTGCATGAATGATGGCCAATAATAGTTTAAAGAGTTGAAATTTGCAGATCTGTTGTATTTTTAGAGAGCTGCAGAGATCAGAAGAGGTCAGCAGAACGTCATATCCACTCCAGAAAGATCCACCTCCCCAGCTCGTATAGAGACAACCCACACTTCTGACGCAAAGGCAGACGCTCCTTCTGTTGACCTCATCATGGCCAAACAGCTGAAAGAATTCAGTGAAAAGGAGGACAAGTCATTTAAAGATACATATTTATCTGGTCCGCAGGTCTCTCAGACAACCGACTGCAGTAAAGGCACCATGTTCAGCAGCAGTGTGACGGACGCCTCCAGTACGCTGACAGGACACACCTCCACCACTGAACACAGCAATGACATGACATCCGAGGTAGAGAGTGGGGCAGAGGACAGCGAGAAGCAGACAACATCAGACACTGACGGAGAGAAATACACGGGGGGAGCCACTGACTCGGGGGAGGCTGACACACTGGAGGAGGGTAAAGGTACAGTCCAGTCGTCAAATGATACTTAGAGTAATAAAAACCCAAGTAAATAGTCTTAGCTGGTCTTCATCTACCTACTGTAAACTATATAAAAGTATCAGTTTTCTCAACTCTCTTACTTACATGCAGCTTTGTTGCGGACATCAAGTGTACTGAAAGGTAGTCAGCCCAGGTTCAGAGCTCGCAAGCCCAGGAAAACAGGACTGATCACTGTGGAGCTACAGAAGGCCTTCCCAGAACTGAACGAACAGCTTCAGGAGGAGGCAGTCAGCAAACCAGGAGGGTGAGGGCATATGTGTTGTTCATTTTCAGTCTTTGGATGTTAATAATATTTGATTTTAAATCTATGATGCATAACATTAGTGGCTTATGAAAATATTAACAAGAATATTTTAATACCAGGAGAAGAGCTAGAAAAAGTGAGTTGCTTGCCAAACAAAAAGCTGCCAAGAAAGCCTCATCCTCTAGATATGGAGAGAATGTCATGGTAGAACGTTGCCCAGAATGCAATGCTGTTCTGGAACAGTATGATGAGGATACGATTGGTTACTGTATCATCGTCCTGGCAACCTTTATACACAGAGAGCCTGCTTTAGCTACACCTCTCTTGTTGGAGACTCTGCAATGTGTGTCCAGGTTAGTTCTCTTTACATGATTTGAAAGGTGAATAATCTTGTTGATTTAAGTTTTAAAAAATTATGCCTTTCAAGTTAGTTATTAATTTCCACTGTTAAATTTATCATAATCTGTTATATAACTAATCTGTAGAATTATCAGCAATAATTATGCAGTAATATTTTTTTCTCTAGAATTGCATCAAGCAGTCCCTATGTTTGGCAGGTTGACAGGTAATTAGTCAATATTTATACATGTACAGTGGACCCTCATTTATCCGGACACTTTGGTTCCCGGTCAATTTGTCCGGATATGTGAAGCATCCGGATATCTGAATCACCAGTTAAACAGGACAAAATAACATTTAAAAATTTTGTTCCGATGAAAAATCGTCCGGATACTGAAGCATCTGGATATCTGGCGTCTGGATATCTGAGGGTTCACTGTATATGGATAATTTCAAATTTTGTACAACATTTCTATTAATTTAATTATTTTGAAAAATTTTGCTTTTAGCTCTTGTATGTTTGGTATTGCTATAGAATACTACAATATTAATTTTGAGAATAGGCTTTGAGTGTTGTTTAAAAAAATGCATTAGATGAATGACTTTGAAATATTACAGCAATGTCATGGTCCCAGGAAATAGTGTGAGCATTGCCAGACAGTTTATAAGGTGTGTGCTGCACCAACTGGCTCCCAATGGGATCTTCCCAATGCTCTATCAGAGTAATTTTGAGGGTGAGTTTCTCTGTGAAGGATATAGCACCCAAAGAATACATTTGTATTGCCAAGGTTTACTGTAAACCAACTCTTATTCACGTGCGAGAAATTTTCACGCTGTTCGCGAGAGCCCCTTCATCGCGAATATTTCTCGCCGCGAACCTGTCCTTAAAGTCTATGTGCCTATTAACAACAGATCCAAAATAGGCTTTGCTGCAAAAATTGATCGTTGCGAACAAATTTAACCACAGTAAATTGTGAAATAAAGTCGTCGCGAATAAAAGTTGGTTTACAGTAATAGGTATTACTGTACCCTAAATACTGTATACAGAGTTATTTTTGCCCTTTCACACTTGCAGACAATTTTGCCTGGTATTAAATTTGCCCAGTCATAGTTTTATTTAAGAAAACATACTGTATATAGGGAAATTTTTGCCTGATTTAAATTCACCCAAATAAGGGTATCCTTAACACAGGCAAAAATTTCCCTGTATACCGTATTCACAATTCTTTTTACAGATGTGGATTTCTTCAAGACTATGGCTGCAGCTCTGGCAGACTTTACAGAGCTTCCTTGTCATGCCCCCATACAACTTCTTCTGGAGGTATGTTGAGAAATCTTTTCTCTTAATAATCTAAAGCATCAGTGGAAAAAATAAATCCCCTAAAAATCCAAAAAGTAAAAAAAAAAAAATCACAGGAAGGTAGCTCGTTTCCATAGAATTTTAAGAATTTGGATTCAGCAATTATAAATGTAGACACTTGCCAGTCCACATGGTTGATACAGATATACGGGTATGGCATTTTGCAATTTAATTTGTTTTTGGTCTAAGTAATTTGATTGAGTTGTAAAAAACCATTTCAATAGGATTCATATTCTTTGAATGTCGCAGGATAGAGGCATGTATACTGTTTCTATTTCTTTTGTGATTGATATCTAGGGTTTGAACAACAAGAAGAGTCTGCCCTCGGACACCATCATCTTGTTGCTTAACAATCTGGCAGACTACATGAACTGCATCTCTTTGGAGACCTCTGCTCCTATGTGGAACAGCATTGTGGGTAGTTTTGAAATCTTCCTGAGAAAGCTCTACACAGTGCTGCCAACACCATTTGATCCATCCTCACTTCTGAAAATCATGATATCTATCCTGAAGGTGTCTGGGATTAGTAACTCCAGGGTACGTTTACAGAAATTCTGACAACTCTTATCAGGAATTTTCATCTTTACCGGTAAATGATATTTAAATATCAGCGAACTTCAACAAAATTTCCTTGATTTGTCATAATTTTCACAGAGAAAAAATGGAGAATATTCAGTACCAGTAATAACCTCTCCAGTTTTACAGCCACCTTTTTATTCTCATTTGTATTTTGCTTTTATGTCCTAATAGGAAAAGATTTGCATATTATCTTAAATTAAAAACTAGTGTTGGCAACGAGTACCCGGTTAACCGGTTAACCGTCGAACGTTGCGAGTATCGGTTAGTAAAACTGCTATTCGGTTACTCGGATAAAATAAATTATGCATAGTAAAGGCATAGAAAATGAATGTTTTATAATTTATGAAAGTATACTAACTTACACATTTCCCTAATTTTAGGTACAGTTAGACTTGATCTAGTGCATGGTTGTAGTTGTTTTGATTAGTTTTCACAGTTTATATAATTGATAGCTTTGATTGCTTGGGGTATACATATTTTGAAGGCCTGAGTTATAATTACCTCATTTGATAATTTAACGAGATACCGCCGCAGACATAATAAGCTTGGAATTGTAACAAAAGAACAGCTGATTCAAAATCTGTTAAATCACCTAAGCTTAAATTAATTATTCGGAAACCAGCGATTTACTGGACACTCCACATATTAACTATTAATTATGGAATATGTAAATAAATATTCTCCTTGAATGCGACATATTTCGGGGGCTGAAATAGAAAGTTTAAAATGGTGATTGACGATGACATATTTATTTGTCTTTGTGTATCGAATTCCTATTAATTTTCTTTATTTTAAAATCGTAAATCTTTGACAATATCGTATGTGTGTATTGTAAATATAATGTCAATAAACAGTATATTTGTGTATTACTACTATTGATAAGTATAGAATAAGATAAATAATAGATATTGATAATTTTACAAAAAATCATCCGAGTAACCGGGTACTCGATCGGAAGATGAAGCGAGTAACCGGTTACTAAAAATCGTCCGATTTGCCAACACTATTAAAAACTGTTATGTGTGGTTTGTTCTCTTCTGCAGTCAATATTGGAGCCCTTTTCCAAACTCCTGAGCTTTACTATCTTGAACTGTTCATTCAAGTTACAACAGGTGCTGGACATTTGCTCTCTATGTAATAGAGTCTTTGTCAAGGTAGGGGAATATGCTAATGCTGATAAAATTCCAAAGAACATATGCAAACTTGTCCATTAAACATTTTGAGTGAGTAACAATTTTGTTTTTGTTGAACAGGAGAGAGACAAGATGTACTTGACCAGAACTGTGATCTTTGAGCTTGTCCAGGCTCTCAAGTTCAAACACAGTTTACCTGATGAAAACTTCCTGCTCTTGGTACAGGTAAGAACACCAGATCCTAAAATTAACTACAACTCTCTGCACTAAAAATGCTCAAAATGAACGAATCCTGCATTCAGCAAAATAAAAAAATGCCCAACCACACTCAATTGTAGTATGTATTCTGTAAATTCCTTGTTTTAGTTTGTAGTGCTAGATGCCTATGGAACACTAGGGTCCACTAACAGTGTTAGTAAGATGTTGATGTGATTTTCTATTTTCCTTGTCACGTGTACAGTTTGTAGTACTTGATACTGGAGGTACACTAGGGTCCACTAACATTGTCAGTGAGATTTTGATGTGATTTTCTATTCTCCTTGTGTTGCAGTTTGTAGTACTTGATACTGGAGGTACACTAAGGTCCACTAACATTGTCAGTGAGATTTTGATGTGATTTTCTATTTTCCATGTGTTACAGTTTGTAGTGCTGGATGCTGGAGGTACACTAGGGTCCACTAACATTGTCAATGAGATGTTGATTTGATTTTCTATTTTCCTTGTGTTTCAGTTTGTAGTGCTGGATGCTGGAGGTACACTAGGGTCCACTAACATTGTCAGTGAGAAACTGATGAGATTTTCTATTTTCTTTGTGTTTCAGTTTGTAGTACTTGATGCTGGAGGAACACTAGGGTCCACTAACATTGTCAGTGAGATGTTGATGAGATTTTCTATTTTCCTTGTGTTTTAGTTTGTAGTGCTAGATGCTGGAGGAACACTAGGGTCCACTAACATTGTTAGTGAGATGTTGGTTAGATTTTTAGCTCTTCTGAGCCAAAGGCTCAAAGAGCTAATGCTATGGCCATTTGTGCGGTGTGCGTAAACTTTTTAGAATATGGGCCATAACTCAAGAACCCATGGGCCAATCAGTACCAAATTTGTCACAGGGTATCCTTGGCCCAAGGGCTACCATTTGTACTAAAATAAGGGTTGGGACCCTTAAACAAGGGGGAGATAATCAGGAAAACAAAACCAAAAGTACTGGTTGCTAAAAAATCTTCTTCTCCATAACCACCAGGCAGATTTTCACCAAACTTACATACTAGGATCAGGATATGTCGAAGATTAAACTTTGCGCGGGGAATTACCCTGGGGCAAAGGGCGTGGTCTCAAGGTCACTTCCAAGTTGACCTAAATTTACAATTAATAAAAACGTGTATATTTTGCTTACTATAAGGACTAGGATCATCAATTCTTGTAAGTTGATGCATCTTACGACTTCACATCGTTAACTAAAAAGTAGGTCACAGTGACCTACTTTTTAAATTTTGCGGGGATTTGTTTTCAAATTGATTTGAAGGCATATTTTGGACACTTTAAGGCCTATGATCATCAAACTTTGTCAGTTGATGCATCTTGGGTCTTTGAACAATGTCAACTTAAAAGTAGGTCACCGTGACCTACTTTTTGAACTTGATGACTTATCCTTTTAAAAACATTAAATCCCATTATTTCAGACACTGGGAGGTTTAGAATCATCAAATCTTGTACTTTGATGCATCTTGGGACCTTAAAACATATGTATGAAAAATAGGTCACTGTGACCTACTTTTTAAAAGTTGTTTAAAACGCATATTTTGATTACCTTCAGACCTACGATCATCAAACTTGGTCAGTAGATGCATCTTTTTGAAAAAACAAAAAGTAGGTCACGATGACCTAGACATTTTATGGCTATATTTAAGTATCTTAGGTATTTATTGGCTAAGAATCATCAACTTTGTGAGTCCATGCATATTTGGTTTTCCCTCTAAAAGTAGGTCACGGTGACCTACTTTTGATATTTTATGGCTTTATTTTAGTATCTCCGGTACTTATTGGCTTAGAATCATCAAACTTTATATGATGCACAATTAAAAAAAGTAGGTCATGGTGACCTACTTTTGACATTTTGTGACTAGAATTAAGTATCTCTGGTACTTATTGACCTAAAATCATCAAACTTTGTGAGTTGATGCATCTTGGGTTTACACAAAAAGTAGGTCACAGTGACCTACTTTTGAGATTTTATGGCTATATTTAATATCTCAGGCACTTATTGGCTAAGAATCATCAAACTTTGTCAGTTGAGGAGAGAGACAAAAAATAGGTCACAGTGACCTACTTTTGAATATCTCAGGTACGTATAAGCTTAGAATCATCAAACTTTGTCAGTTTAGGCACCTTGGGCTCGGAGAAGTTCAAAAAGTAGGTCACTGTGACCTACTTTTGAAATTTTATGGCTATATTTAATTATATCGGGTACTTATTGGCTCGGAATTATCAAACTTTGTCAGTTGAGGCATCTTAGGGTTTCATTGAATGTCCAACAAGAAAGTAGGTCACGGTGACCTAATTTTGAATATCTCAGGTACTTATTGGCTTAGAATCATCAAATTTTGTCAATTTAGGCATTATGGGTTTTTGAATAATGTCAACCAAAAAGTAGGTCACAGTGACCTACTTTTGACATTTGATGACTATATTTAATTATCTCTGGTGTAATTGGCCTAGAAGTGTTTTGAGATGATGCATCTTGGGTTTTCAGTTTGACCAAAAAGTAGATCATGGTGACCTACTTTTGATGCTGGTACTTATTTAATTAGAATCATCAGTCTTTGTCAATTAATGGGTCTTGAGTCCTCAGAAAATTGTCAATCGAAGGGTAGGTCACTGTGACCTACTTATGGTATTTTATAATTATATTATTCAGTCTAACTGTGTTATAGTTTGTAGTGTTGGAGGCTTCTAACAGAAGTGATAGATTGTACAATTTATCAGAAGAGGATTCAAGGTCCTTGGGCCTAATTTTCTTGTGCTAGTGAGATGTTGATGAGATTTTCTATTATCCCTGTGTTTCAGTTTGTAGTTCTGGAGGTACACTAGGGTCCACTAACATTGTCAGTGAGATGTTGATGTGATTTTCTATCTTGTGTTACAGTTTGTAGTACCAGATACTGGAGGAACACTTACATTGTAAGTGAGATGTTGATGAGATTTTCTATCTTGTGTTACAGTTTGTAGTACCAGATACTGGAGGAACACTTACATTGTAAGTGAGATGTTGATGAGATTTTCTATTTTCCTTGTGTTTTAGTTTGTAGTGTTGGATGCCGGAGGAACACTAGGGTCCACTAACATTGTCAGTGAGATGTTGATGAGATTTTCTATGTGTTTTAGTTTGTAGTACTAGATGCCGGAGGAACACTAGGGTCCACTAACATCGTTAGTGAGATGTTGATGCTGTACAACCTTCAGAGTCAAATGTTGATATAGCAAAGTAAGTACCTGACTTTGCTATAACCGAGTTTTACTGTAGTTACATATTTTAATATTTTTTGTTGTATCTTAAGTGAGCATTACTTGTTTGTTTATTGATAACAGATTAAATATCGGTTTCATTTCAAAAACATATTTATTTAAACCAGGTTAAAACATCAATGGATTTACTTGACATTGTTTACCCTTAAAAAAATTACTTATATGCGGGTCAAGGAATTTTATCAAAAAATAACCGACTTATACTCTCTTATAGGGTTAACATATCAAAGGTTTACATGAAAAGATTTTTTTATTATGATAAGAATTGAATGCTACCCATTACTTAGACTTAAGTTAAGAATAACCTTATACTTAGATTGTAAAACTAATGACTGCATTTCATGAGTATCTGGCTGTATATGTAATTTCAGAACAATATGAAAGGGGGAGGAAGCAGCTATTTGAATGAGGACACACTTGGAAATCAGCTGAAGTCTGGGATAGCTCAGTTTGTTGCCTTGGAGATCACTCGTGGCAATGGCCGTGACAACAGAGCAATATCTCGTTACCTGCCCTGGCTCTACCATCCCCCCTCCACAGTACAGCAAGGGTGAAGATTTTATGATAAATTATATATTTTTTGGTAATAAATTACAGTACAACAGAAAGTAAGGATCTGGAGATAAATAGCTGTACAAAAGAATTAAGGTTCTTGTGAAAAATGGAAGGTTCTGTAAATTAACTGACAGGATAAGCTTGTAGTGATGCAGTAATTTACTACAACAGGATACATAACAGTCCAGAGGTGGCAAGAATCAGAAGATTCTAATGTTAAAAATATAGAATAATGTTTTAGAATCTAAGGATATTTTTTCCAATGCTATAGTTTACCATGTGATTGCAAAAAATGTGTTCAAATCTTCAATGCATGTGTGAGTTTGATAAATACAATGTATATCTTTGCTTTTAGCCCAAAAGAGTTTACAGACTGTATTGGCCACATACGTCTTCTCTCTTGGCTTTTGATTGGTTCCCTGACTCACACAGGAATGACAGAAGGAACCGCCCCCATTTCCTGTCAGCCAATCCCATTGGATGCTAGCTCCTACATTGCAGAACATGTTTTGGTCATTATGACTGGATTTGATGAGAGATCAAAGGTTAATTCTTATTAAATTACTAGAGAAAAGTATTTTTGATTACTTTTATTTTAATTACATTGTAAATTATATATGTTATATGTATTTTTTATTTCATCACATTTTTTGTTATCTTTCTGTTAACACTGAATAATAAAATCTAAGGAGTCTGTATTCATTTTAATTTTGAAAATTGCATTTTCATATTTTAAGGACATGAAGGTATGAAGGATATTGTATTTTTGTAGTCAACTAAGTGTACTGCACTAATTAACAAGGAATCTTGATACACTGTGATGACTTGATGATCTATAAAATACTGTTGCCTTATCTTGTTTTTTCTTGTCGACCTTTGCTTTTGGAAACCAATTTGAGAACTTAAATTTCTTGTAAATACATTTATTTAAAAATTTGTTGTTTTACTTTGCATAATGAGCAAACAGGCTATGTGAATTAAACTAAGATTCATTATATATTCATATATCATATATCAGTGCCATGATTTTAATTAAATTATGCTAGCTTTAGATTTTCTAATGGCATGTGCATTTTTGAATGTACCAGTTCCTTATGCTACATGTGCAAGCTAAACTATAATTGTTATTACAGTTATTGTCTTTCTGATTTCAGGACTCGGTATTGCACATGAGTTCCCTCTTCCATGCTTTTATCCTCTGCCAGGTTTGTGAACATAAACAGTAAAACAGTGTATTGTGAACATAAATAATTAAAATTAATATTATATTACCATAATAATTTTGTAAGATACTTGTATTGGTATGGTTCACAGACTTCTATCTTTTAAGAGATTTGTTCTGTATTTAGCTGTGGACCATGTACTGTGAGTCGACGGCGGCCCAGTATCCTATGGACAGTGAGAACCACAAACTGGCCTCCACCATGGTGATGGACTTCTGGGGGCGGGTCACGCCGGGGATACTGCAGATGTTAAACACTCCCAAAGAGGTACAGCATGATTTCATCTAGCCTCTCAAGTAACTTAGAAGTTTAAAGAGGCAATTTTATATGTTGTCACTGATTAAAAAGAAAACAATATGCCATGCATATTATATGAACTAACACAGATGTCTAATTCGTGAATACATTATTTTCTAGCAGCCCTAGTCTTTAGCAAAGTATTTTTATAGAATTTTATATTACAAAGTCACAATTGATTCACAATCCATTAAGACATCTATTACTCTTTTAATTGCACCATGGGGTATACAGCATGAGAGGCCACAAAGACAGGTTTGTTTGATGTTTTTGCCCATGAAAATGCATGACAATAGATGACCCATCTTAAAATTGTATGGTCCAGTACAATCTTTTGTAGCAAAGCTTCAAAGGTTATTGTGTTTTAGCTGTGTTTTAAATTTTTCCTAGAAATGTTTTGTGATTGAGGAATATTCCACCAATAGTATGTGGGGGAAATCTGGGTCTCTTGGTATATTTGAGCTAAAATCCTCGCCTTTATTCCCCATTTGTTTTGAAAATATTTGTACATTTTTTTTTCTTGATATATGTTTTCTTTGGTTGATATTTTTTATTCTTTGTTTTACATTTGGGGCTTTTTTGGTTTGAAGATACTGTTGAGATGCAAATAAATAGCTTTGTTTATAGTACTTTTATGTTACATTTGCAGTTGGCAGAAATGGTCAATCTTCATTTTCTAAGTTTGATGGAGGCCCTAAGGGAATGCAATTCTTCGGTTCTGGCCAAATTGTACCCCATGTGGACTTCAATTTTGTTTACCTACCACTCGCAGGTAAAGAATACTGTAAATGGAGACATTTTTTACCAAAGGTTGAATATTAGAGAGCTTTTGCTTTCAGTCTGATCCAGTCTATTTCTCTTCCTTTATACAAATTTCTAAGCCCTAAGTTCTAAAATACAATGTACATTGTATGAAGGCATAAATTGTTAGTTTTATTATAATATACTGTGGAATCATTTTAATTCGTGGGGGTCAATGTTCGTTGGTAAGCAAAATTTGACCTGTTCGTGGGGACGTATTTTCATGGGTTACTCGTACGTACGATGGTTCAATGAATCAATATGTTATCAAAATAAACGTTCGTGGAGATGTAAATTCGTGAGTATGGGTGACCCACGAAATCCACAAACATTGGTCCCCAACGAACAATGATGATTCTACAGTACATGTATACACAACTAGTTTCACATTGATTTTTAAAGCTAAGGAACAATTTTAACTCAAATTTGCATCATGGCAGTTGGAAGTCCATCTATGCCTTAGTGATAGAAATGCTTCAGACTCTTGTTCCTTATTAATAGAAATGACTCTGTCTACTAGCTCCTTATTTATTTCCACAGTTGCCTGGACATTTACAAGTGAGACTTCAGACAGTGGAGAACTGGAAGCCTCCCAGTACATCTAAGGACCAGGCTTCCTTTAACATCCTGTTGACCTGGCTAAAGCGCATACAGTTCAAACTGGGTCAGGTGGAGGTGCAGTCCTCGGCTGCCACTCAGTTCTACTCTGTTTAATCTGGGAAGGGGGTCAGAAAAGGCCATAACTCAGATCTAGTAATCTGGGGAGGGGGTCAAAATAGGCCACTAAACACTAACACAATTGGATGTATTAAATTGTCATAATCAAAGAATGCTAGCTGGATCATGTATTATGGATTAAATCTCATTCATTGATTTTCCTAACATTGTAGCTTTATAGAAGGCATATAATGTTTAAGATGGTAGTATTTAAAGAAGTTGAAATAATAACTACTGTACATGTACATATACTGTACATAAATTAACTTATCCAAAATTTAGCTGAATCTCTAGTTATTGCGTTGTTGGCATATTCATACTAAAGCACCATATATTTTATGTATAAACAATTTCTTGGTGGTATTCATGAGTTAGTATATCGTTGTCCTATAGCTAAAGCTGCTAAAGTATGAAGCCTGCTTTTTAAGGTGCACATACAGTATTTTAGAGGGGTTAGGATTTGATTGATGTAAGAAAATTACATTATTTGGTTTTCAGTGTGAAGAAGTTCGTACATTTTTGTATAAAAAGTATAATTTAGTAGAGGAATGTTCAAATATACATTTATTAGTATTTGTTGTATACTGAAAGAATGTATGACGGTATAATCCCTATTAACTGCCCCGGGCGCTTAGAAAATTGCGAAAAGGGGACGGTTATTTTGGTACATGTATTCTCTTTATGATATTTAATGTCATATTTTAACTTAAAAAAATCTTTTGAAAAAAAATAATAAATACAAAGAACCACTAAAATAATTTCTAGCTTTTTAGCTCACCTGAGCCGAAGGCTCAAGTGAGCTTTTCTGATCACATTTTGTCCAGCGTCCGTCTGTCTGTCCGTCTGTCTGTCTAGCTGTCTGTCTGTATGTAAACTTTTCATGTTTTTGACTTCTTCTCAAGAACCGCTGGGCCAATTTCAACCAAACTTGCCACAAAGCATCCTTAGGTGAAGGGGATTCAAGTTTGTTCAAATGAAGGGCCATGCCCTCATTCAAGGGGAGATAATTGGGAATTAATGAAAATTTGGTGGTATGTTTTAAAAATCTTCTTCTCAAGAACCACTGTGCCAGGAAAGATGAAGCTTATGGGGAAACATCCTCAGGTAGTGTAGATTCAAATTTGTTCAAATCATGACCCCCGGGGGTAGGGCGGGGCCACAATGGCCGACCAAAGTTTTACATAGAAATTTATAGTTAAATTCTTTAAAAATCTTCTTCTCAAGAATGACAAAGCCATAATTGATCATATTTATATGGAAGCATCGATCCTCAGGTAGTGTAGATTCAAGTTTGTTCAAATCATGACCCCCGCGGGGTAGGGGGGCCACAATGGCCAATCAAAGTTTTACATAGACATATATAGGGAAATTCTTTAAAAATCATCTTCTCAAAAATAGTAAAGCCATGATTGGTCATGGGACTACTTTTGGATTTAAACTTTTCAATAATAAACCAATTTTTACTTTTTCCAAGCCACAGTGCTCAGGTGAGGGATGTGGCCCATGGGCCTCTCGTCTTGAAGTGAGGATAATCCACCCAAATTATGCTAATTCATTTTCCACTGAGAAATTGGATAATAGACAAGTTTTATTTTCACTTTATCCAATTTTTTGATACGATTCTAGTTGATTTTAATAACTGTACAGGGGGCCCTTATTTCCAGACAACTAAAAAATACCTAAGGGGGCGCTTATAGGGGCAGGGGCGGTTAATAGGGATTATATGGTAATCCATAAATATTAGAATGTGTAAAAATTAAGTAGTGTTTCTTTAGATAAAACTAACCGTGCTGTTAAACAATGCATAATTTTAAACCCAGTGTATCAAAACAAAATTTTTAGGGCTATTCCAGATTTAAGAGTGCAATAATTACATGTATTGTGATATTTAAAAATTATATTCTCCTTAAAAATGTTGACTTTTCATATCTACAAACTGACATATAGATATCTATGACTGTATGTATACTGTATACAGGGTTAGCTTTGTCCTGTTTTATTTTCACACTTGCAAATGATTTTATCTAATTTTAAATTTGCTCCAACTTGATTGTTAGAAAAGGAATTTCTCTGTTGAATTCACTCATGTGACAATCAGGATTGTAGGAGCAAAAATAAAATTGGATTGAAAATTCCCCTGTATACAGTGTAGTTAAAATATGTAGCTCACTGATGGCCAGAACATGCATAGATAGAGGAGAGATTGTTATTCATTCTATATTCTTCAGACTACAAATCAGATCAGAAGCCTGATATGGTTAATGTGTAATATTAGATCATGTTAATGTTTGTTGTTTTTGCAACTTATGTGTTAGAATAAAAATTATGTCTTGTTTATCATATTTTCATTGTGTTTGAATTTCAATCAATTCATCAACAAAAAGTATGATTCATTTTAGAGTCTTGTTTACTGTAGATCACCAAATTTTTGTGACACCTTTTTTCCGTCAGGTATTCATTAATGCCACTATAATTTTTCCAAGATTTGTAGTTATTGCTCTAATCGTAATATAATCTTACGGAATACTACTGTATGTGAGAATGAAATTTTAACAAGCACACTGTCACACATACTGTAAACGAACTATTATTGGTGATGGTGATACCGTTGGTGTCAGTTTTCTTTTACCGGATAAGTACTTCTATACTGTAAATTATCTAAGAGATGCATGGAAGATGCTTCTAGTGTGCTTTATTGTACAAGTCAAGGTTTCAGATGCTGCAATTTCAACAAAGGAATCATCAGGTTAATGTTTTTGGAGCAGGTTAAAGTTTTGAGTGCATGTCTCGTTTCCAAGTCAATAAAAGCCCAATTTTGACCAAAATTGCATGGATGATACATCTAAGGAGGCACACTACCAGGCTTGCTCAGATGCTGGATCTGACCTGCATTTTCTGGATGAGTGAATAGGTTTCAAGTTTTTGAAGCAGCTTCATTCAAAAGTAACTATAGGGCCTATGTTGAAAAAACTTGCATAGATGGTACCTTTGAGGATGCTTCTGATTATGGAGCTGACACATTTTACAGACTTGCTTCAGATGCTGGATTTGAATGATTTTCTGTTTGAGTGACTAGTTTGAATTTCTTGGAAAATACTATTCCAAAGTAACTGCAAACCCTCTCTGAATGAAATTGCATGAATGTTGCATCTTGGGATAGTTTAATGTGGGATTTTGCCTTAATTAAAGATTAAATATCTGTTGAGATGAGCTCTGTAATCTCTGATAAACTGTTTAAGTGATGCAACTTAATTTTCACCAATTCTTAATTAACCCCGCTTGGGCATGTGTAGCCCTTCATTAAACAAATGTAAATCCCTTTTACCCATGAATGCTATGTGGCATGTTTGATTTCATTTGTAGGGATACATTCTCACAATGCCAGGAGTTCTGAATCAATTTGTTGTCGTTGGACCTCTGACAAATTTCATTCAATATTTGTGGGCTTGCTTCTCTCATTGATAAGCACCACTCAAATTAAAGCTTTCATAAGAGATAGATAATGTAAACAGAAAGGAATCAGTGAAAACCTCAAATGTATGTGTTACAAATTGTTTATCAAAAGATTGACTTTAATGTGATAGGCCATGCAGAGTTAATTCCTTGGTTCTGAGGTCTTTTTTCAAGAAATATGAGGGAGGGAGGCTTTTTTAGCTCACCTGAGCCGAAGGCTCAAGTGAGCTTTTCTGATCACATTTTGTCCGGCGTCCGTCTGTCTGTCCGTCTGTCTGTCCGTAAACTTTTCACATTTTCGACTTCTTCTCAAGAAGCGCTGGGCCAATTTCAACCAAACTTGCCACAAAGCATCATTAGGTGAAGGGGATTCAAGTTTGTTCAAATGAAGGGTCACGCCCTCATTCAAGGGGAGATAATTGAGAATTAGTGAAAATTTGGTGGTATGTTTTAAAAATCTTCTTCTCAAGAACCACTGTGCCAGGAAAGATGAAACTTATATCCTCAGGTAGTGTAGATTCAAGTTTCTTCAAATCATGTCCCCCGGGGATAGGGTGGGGCCACAATGGCTGACCAAAGTTTTACATAGAAATATATAGGAAAATTCTTTAAAAATCTTCTCAAGAATGACAAAGCCATAATTCATCACATTTATATGGAAGCATCCTCAGGTAGTGTAGATTCAAGTTTGTTCAAATCATGACCCCCGGGGGTAGGGCGGGGCCAAAATGCCCGACCAAAGTTTTACATAGAAATATATAGGAAAATTCTAAAAAAAATCTTCTTCTCAAGAATGACAAAGCCATAATTCATCATATTTATATGGAAGCATGCTCAGGTAGTGAAGATTCAAGTTTGTTCAAATCATGACCCCCGGGGGTAGGGTGGAGCCAAAATGGCCGAAGTTTTACATAGAAATATATAGGAAAATTTAAAAATCTTCTTCTCAAGAATGACAAAGCCATAATTCATCATATTTATATGGAAGCATGCTCAGGTAGTGTAGATTCAAGTTTGTTCAAATCATGACCCTCGGGGGTAGGGCGGGGCCAAAATGGCTGACCAAATTTTTACATAGAAATATATAGGAAAATTCTTTAAACATCTTCTTCTCAAGAATGACAAAGCCATAATTCATCATATTTATATGGAAGCATGCTCAAGTAGTGTAGATTCAAATTTGTTCAAATCATGACCCCCCCGGGTAGGGCGGGGCCAAATGGCCGACCAAAGTTTTTAAAGATATATTATAGGAAAATTCTTTAAAAATCATTTTCTAAAAAATAGCAAATACATGATTGGTCATGGGACTACTTTTGGATTTAAACTTTACAATAAAAAGCCTTTTTCTACTTTTTCCTACCCTTAGTGCTCAGGTGAGCGATGTGGCCCATGGGCCTCTTGTTTCTACTTTTTTATTGCCCCCAAAACATGATGAGGCAGCTTTTTACATTGTACAAAACCTCATTTGTTGTTTTTATTTTATTGATTTAGCAATAAAAAGGGTCAATGAGGCACCCTTGGAAGAGATGAGGGAGCTCCTGAGAACCAAGAAATTAATTTTTTATGGCCATAGGTTGAGGAATATAACAAATAATCAAGATTTGTAATTTTTCCAAAGGACATTGGTACAGTCATCCCAGGATATATATTGAATGAAATTTGTCAGGGCTCTAATGGAAACATATTGACTTAGAACCCCTGGAATTGTGAGGATGGTTGGGTTAGAGTGGAAAACTTTTTAAAATGTTGCTATTTAAGAAAATTGATGCCATTTTGCATAAAGACACATAACAATGGTAGATTTGATCTTTAACTTTATTGCTATATCACTGACAGTAACTCTCCCCTTTTATGGAAAATCACCACAATAACAAATTATCAAATACTTATGATATTATTAGAAAACAGAACAGTATCATTGTAGAAGTGTGCCATGGCTAATACATTCCAAATGCCCATTAGTACCGTTATCAAAACAAGAATATGAAAGGCAATGGAATGAACAAACTTTAGAATATAATGAGGGAAACAGAGCTGATAGAAATGTCCATTGTGTTAATTTTTCATCTGAATGTAAAATGTTTCTTTGCTTATTAATTTAAATAAGACATTTTTCATTTTTTAAAATTCATGAATTTTTTTTTGGATTTCACTTTAACTTATATTTAGACATATTCATTTCACCTAGGGATATAACTGATTGGTGTATCCTATATCAAGAATAGACCAATTTGTGGTAATTATATTTTCACATAAATGTGTTCTTACAGTCAGTTTTATATTCAAACAAGATGCTGTAATTATGTTTCACTTCACTAGTCAGAGCAACAAAAAGGGGAGATAAATCAGTGATAAAACATACTTAATTTCCTTCAAACAATATAACAATATTCTCTAAACATGTATCATCGTTGCAAAAGTTACACGTTTATTACACTCACATAAACACATTCATCTGTCCTAAAATATACTAGCACTTATATACAAGTATAAGTTATATACAACAGGTATGATCAATTGTGATAAGAGACTTGTTCACACATAAAACTAATACCAAACAAAATGAATGTGCATTAGATGAACCTTAACTTTCTTGATGAAAATTGGGGAAAAAAATGAATGAAAGAATATAATTTCAGCATTAATAAAATCCTTTCTCATTTATTATTTATTTAAATTGAAAGGCTATATAGATGACTTGAAAAGGGTCATTTGTTTTGTAAACCATTCAATTAATGGAAAAAAAAAAATATCAGGGATGTTATAAAAAGAAATATTAGAGTACCACAAAATTGATATAATTAGCACCAACTAAACATATTTCCTTAAGGATCTATGTTTCATAAAATAAGAATTGATAATTTTAACATTTGAATTTCTTCCAAACTTTGCGTTCTGAGAAGAAATTTGTGAAATCTATTATTTAAATGGAGGATTCACTGTTTGTTATTAACAGAACTGTTAAATGCCAAAAAAGTGACTGCATCAATAATAATTTTACATTTATATGCATGATACTGATTTTATATTTAATTATATTTTTTTTCTACTGCTTTTGTTTAGTTGTCACCAGTGCATGGTACATAATTTGCATGTTATCTTTTTCCGCCTTTAGATCTTGAAAAGTTTTAGTACAACAATATAGGTATACCCTTTCGTTTAGTAAAAATCCACATCGAAATTTTTTGCATAAATTGAAAATCATTGTTATAACTTCCAACCTTTGTTGATAATATATATTGAAACAGATATATCTTTATTTCAATAAAATTTTATGTGAAGAAAAAATCAGATTTGTAAAAAAAAAACAATTAAATTAATAAAAACGGCTTGAAAGATTATTTCCTTTACTTATAAGTATTCATTTTGGTTTAAGTATCTAGTATGTAGTACTATTTTGGTCCCTAAAATCATATAAATTAATTGTTTGGCAATGATTTAACATATGAATGACAGTGTCCATTTTCGTTGTGCAATTATTTCAGCATTTTGATGGCATATAATACTTTATTTAAGGTACAATGAAGCATTTTTTAGAATGAAGCACATTTTTTTGAAACGGAATAACTACTTTCTTCATCCATTAACTTATGTATTTTCTAAATACCAGATATGGAAAATTGTTTTGATAGTCAAACATGTAATTCAAAATTAAATTTTGTGAAGTATTCATGCATATGTAAATTCATGCAAATTTTATTCACATTTTCACATAAATAGATTTACCCGGTATATTGACGGTATCTATACCTGCTATGTCAGCTTGTCCCAAATGTTTTAATGCCCCAGAACACAAAATAAAGTAGCACCACAAAACAGTCTATTTCTATACCTGAAAAAATAATCACAAGCCCAGGACGAACATACATGTATGTCATTTATATATGTACAAAAATCTAGTATAGATAATATCTATATACCTGTATGTAAGTCTCTTCTGAACATGAAAAATTTACACGAAGGTTTGATATGTTAAAAGCAAAAATATATTATTTTTTAGATAATGTAATAAAACGTGAAAATTAAACAAATTCTTTAATCCCATATGTGTTCTTTTGAGTTTTTCCCCTTCGAAACTATCATGAAAATTTACAGTTGAGCATCATTTTGCAAGGTATTTGAAATCATATAACACTGTACATTATGGTGAATTTGGTTTTTGTTATAGCTTAAATTATCACAGATATTTGAAATTATACATACAATGAAAAAAATGATCAGAAAGAAAAAAAAAGCTTATCATGAGGATGTAACCGATCTATAAATAATAATGTGGCTGCAAAATTAATACTTGGTCGACCTTTACTATTATGGCTTTAACCTGCAAAGGGAAGAATATTTTAAAGGAAAGTAGAAGATATCGACTAAAATGGCTCAATTCCTCAAAGCTTTGTAAGCATGATTGCTGTTTGAGAGCAGCATTGTGAATTTGTTGTCCAGCATAAACATAAAACTAAATCTGGACCTTTTCCGGTCAATAATTGGAAGCCGATTTAAGTCAATCACACAGTCAGCTTAGAAATCACGTTCTGGTCAAACGGCTACTTTTCTTATCTCCAACCGTTTACGGCTCTGCAATTGAGTAAATATGCACGAAGTGAGAGAAAAAAAAACCCTGCTATGGTATTATTCTGAAAAAGTCAATATACTATATATATGTATCAAAATATACTCAAAACACACAGAATTATTTCTAGAAAATGGGTAGGGAAAATTGTATGAAAACATATGATCAAGAATAAAAAGTTTCCACATATACGAAACACACAAAAATTATTATCTGGCTTATCATCAAACCAGTTTTTTTTTTTAATTTAGTAGTATATTCAGCAGTTAAGTGTGTAAAATTCCTTAAAACCATACAGCAAGTAGCATACAGGTAGCAATAACAGACACAAAAGGTGTGCAAAGCAGTAACAGCCAATCGGGATAAAGTTCTTTGGACAATAGGGAAGCCATTTTGAGTGCTGAATGATGGGTGTTGAATTGTGCAATAACATGTTCCATGCAAGCTCACTGTCCACCCAGATTTAAACTCGGTAACTTTGGTATAATGGATCTAGTCTGTCAGAAACAAAAGGACAATTAACAATACACAGTATTAGTAATAACAAGAACAGTTAGTAGAGAAATGGATGCCTCCTCATGCACACAAATAAAATCAATTATCATTAAAGGCAAGTACACCTAGCTATATCTTGATGTTCATCCTCTGTAAAAGATTTGGTCCATGCATGTTTACAAAAGCCAAATGCAGCAGAATTTTCATTTAACATTAAATATCAATGCTTTACTCCTTAAAAGTGCATGATTATAAATACTTATCTGGAGATCATCCATTAAACTCTTCTTATAGTTAGTAAAAAGTAGTAATGTACTAGGACAAATGTTAATACAATATATGTAGTTCTAAAAATACATCTTTTAAATCAGATCCAAATGTGTTCCCAATGAGGACTGTGTATAACCCCTACCTCACGCAGAAAAATGTACAATATTTGCAAAGCATGCCATAAAAAAGAAGGAAAAAAATAGAAAAAGAAAGGTAAATAAAAAGTAATTCTCAATAATCAAAACATTTCTTCTTCAATCAATCTATGAAGACATGCAGGGTTTCTTTCTGATATTCTGAACAATAGAAAAGACTTCAATTTAGTTTTTTACCAATATTCTTTGGAAGCATATTGTTCCAATAAATATTGAATTCATCTCAGTTATCTAGAACTTTTCAGGGACACGGTCATCATACTGTACTTTATAGTGTGTTAATTAATGGTCAACTGTATTTATATATAGTCAGAGCAGAAACTGAGGGAAAAAGACAGAATTAATACAGCTAGTTTGCAGGCATTCAACATACAGATATTCATTAAGCAAATTTTGACCACAGAAATGCTCATGCATATTACTTTACTGCTGAATACAATCTTAGAATGTTACTCATTTATCATTAAAGAAACGATAAGCTGAAAAGCTTATTTCAATTCAAATTATTTTTGCAAAAAAATATATATACATATAAGCTTTACGAAGGCAAGTGCTACATGAAGTATGTACTTCCGTCAATAATTATTGTCTAACATACATTAATCTCTTTACCTGATAAATAGTTGTAAATAAAGTCTTTTCTAGATAAGTGAAACTGTACTATTTTTGCAAAACCTTGTGCAAGTAAAAAAAAACTGCATGATTATAGATGGAAGAGAATATAAAAAGTCCTTGCTGCCAATTTGCTTAAAATATCCAAAATCTGTTTCATAATTACATGTGGCACATTAAATTATTTTTATTAATTGCTGATGTCTCTTTTTGGAATCTATGAATTAATTAATTTGTAACTGCATGTAGAAAAAAATACTGGTATATCATGAGACAAAAATGCAGATACCCAGTACATGTATCTGTGGATTTTTATAACATTTTTTTATCCACCTGCAATCTGTGATTCAATTTTGAAATATGGGTATTTTCCCCTGTTTGTTAAAAAGATATTTATACAAAAAAAGACTGTCACAATGTTTAAAGTCAGCTTCATGTATTGCTCTACAAATAGATGATTTAGTAATAAAACTGCAATTTAGTAGAGAATACTTTTTTGGTTTTCTCAAAAGATGCCTTTAAAAAATTATCATCTTTTTTTTTCGTCATGATAGACCATGTTTATTCGGCTTCAAAATTTAATGTTATGCTAATACTCCAAAATATTTTTTCATGTCAATTTTCTTTGTGCTCCTCATAAACACTGGACATGTATATGAATACCGGGTACATGTAATTTTCTTTCTAATGCAAACCACAGCAAGAATTTATCAGAAAAAAAGAGGTTAAGGATAAATTACTGTCTTTAGAACTTAGACAAAATAGCTATAAGAAAGTGGAGGGTGTAAATTTGTAATAAGTTTAAAAATTTGGTAAGATTTGGAATTTTGAAAGCTTAGAATATGTATAGTTATTAGACAACAGTAGGTTTATGCTTAAAAACAATACAGTGCTTTTGCTATTGGCACATCTATAACTAAAATGTAAGAACCGACCTTCATACGAACAAGCTGCAGATTAAAAATTAAATTATGATTAACCCAAAATATACATGTAATGTTAATTCTATGCATCTATTCTATACACTTATAATCTATCCTAAGTACAATTATATTACAATAGCAACTATTCTGAATTCAATAACTGGGCAAAATAATATGATAAAACCAGCACAAACTGAAATTTGTTCTTTTTAAGTAAATATTTAATTTTTTGTCATCTCTAAAACATAACAGAGGTTAACAAGCATAAAGAATCACAAGAAGCCTATATATGTGGGCTTAGTAAGTAGTGGGCAGTCCCTTTATTGGATAAATAATTCATATTGGCTCATACCAAAATACTTTTTGTAGAAAATAGACACATTTGAGTAAAAATACGTACTGGTCAACAACTCTCAACTAATGCTGAAAGAGAGACACTTGTTCACAGCCTTGATTTTTTATTTATTCAAAGTAATATACAGTCTACTCTTATTATATTGAATTCAATGGGACCAAAGAAAATAAAGCTTAAATACCCAAGGTTTCAAGATATCAAGGTCAAAATACACAGAGAACAAGTTCCTAGGGTTTCAATATCAATTCTGCATATCCAATGTTTTCAAGATACCAGTGTTCAAGATATTGAAGTTCAACTGTAGTTAATAAAAAAAAAGTTGAACTGTAAAACAAGTCCAACCTTTCCTCATTTTCACAAGCACTTGAACAGCACATACAATTAGAATTTTGAAATAATTTGAACAAACTTGTATCCATTCTGAATGTGTTGAATATCAGTTTGATCATTGAAAAAAAAAGAATTGAGATAAATTGAAAATATTACTATTTCAGAAACAAATGCAAGATTTGAGGTGAAATTTAGAAGTACATCTCTTCTGCAATATGTATCAATCTGCGACAATTAATTTTTGTGATCAAGGAAATATTTTCTACAAAAGAAAAAAATTATATTTCTCGCAAATAAAAGTTGGTTTACAGTATCAATAAGCTAAACAATACTTTCCAACTACAGTTCTCAACTTCCAAATCTTGAACATCAAATCCCAGGGATTTGTCAAAGTCAGCTGACAGTCCCATTTTTATTACTGATATGAATTTCAGCTTCAGTATCTCAAAATACTTGGATGTCTTAAGATTTATCAAAATAAGTCCCACCATATTTGAAGTACCAAGTTTAAGTTGTATTTCTGGTTTTTCTTTTTCAACCAGAGATGAATCATATTCAAATTAAAGATTGAATTTCTTTTTCGGAAGGAATATATTATTAAAATGCTGTCAATAAATACCTCTACAAGTTAATGAAACTAAAAATTAAAATATCACCTGCTTATTTCAAAGTTGTAAAAATATATGAAGAAATATAAATTAAAATTATTATCTTAAAATGTTTATAAATATATTTAAAAAAAAAAAAATCAATCATTTTAAACAAATATCACAATTTATAAGATTTAACAAAAAAAGGGAAGGAAACATTTATATGTATATACCAACTGAATCCAACACTAAATGAGATAACAGTGGCTAAAGGAAATAAAGCTTGTAAAATAGCACATATTATATTTTCATATGTTACTAAAAAGCAGGAATTTCACCTAAAATAAATTAAGAGCTAGCAATGATAAGCCGATTAAAGAACATTTTTTTGTTCATTAAAGAAAACAATTCATACATACATGTAATAGCTTCAAATAAAAGATAGATATAGTGAGTACTTAAAAATTATATTTAAAGGTTTTAATCACAACAGAATGGATTACAACATAGAGGAACGAAAAAAAACAACATGAGGTAATGTTAAATTATAAACTCTTCTTATTATCAAAGTTTTAAAATACAAAAATATCTAAAATATTTTTCATACAAATGTATCAAATTTAAAATATATGCCATCTTATGTGGCTTATCTAACTTCAATGGGTCAATCTGTTCAACTTATACAAACAGATTAACCATAAGTCCAAAATCAGAGAATATATATATATAGGAATTTCAAATCTTACTGAAAATGAAACTTTTTTTTATATTCACTGAAAAGTAAAATTTTAAAGTAGATCAAAATAAGATATCATAATGCTCTTTTTTTATGTGCGTGCTAAAATTCTGTCCCTTTCAAAAAACAAATTGGATACAGGACTTGACAATTTTGAAGAAAAAGACTCTCATATGCACTGCAAGTTTTACCAAACCAAACTGCAGTTGGCTAATAGCCATTAAATTTGCCTTTCTGTTTCTCTAATATTTCTCATATATCATTATTTATTTTCATTACCATGCCCATACATTGTTCATAATTTTGATATTTTCGTTATCAGTTTTCACTATGAAATTATAATTATTGTGTTATATGCAATATGGTACGTAGAAAAATTGAAAAAAAAAAAAATGATGTTAATGCAGAATTACCCTCAAAATTGCATTTTGTCATGATACAAGACATATTATATTGGTACAACTGAATAAAAAAAAGAAGACGACAATATTGAACACTGATTTGCCGATTTGGCAAACTGGAAGGCACATGCTGTACCACAGCATTACGTACGTATCAGCAGGCATGAGGGGGGACATGTAATCACTGACTCACGAATGTTTGAAGGCTGAAAAGTTGCTTGCAATGGCAGGCAAGAGTCTTACTTTTTTCCGTGTGCCACTGAGGAATTCCTTATATTGGTCAGATCTTAGATAACGACTATAGCTGTCACTTTTCATTAATTTAAATATATGGTCCTGAAACAAGAAATGACGAAAAATATTAGTAGAATTTTGAAATGTTAACACTCACGCATGTCCCAATAATTCAGAAAGCTAATAGTGGCCTCTCTTATTATGATTCGGACAGTTCTACTTACAAATGCAATATTAAATTTCACTTTAACTTTCTTTGAAAACAATCATTTTAGAAAACAAAAAATTTTTCAATTTTTAAGTTACATTACAAAATCACCAACATGTACCAACAAATTCAAAGGAACCAATATAAAGGTGCTACATTGTTCGGCTGTAAAATTGGTTATTAATACATTCAAATCGCACTACCTGAGCTTCATCAAAAACGTATCTCGTTGGGTTAACTTCCATCCGGTTCCTCACAAGTTCTGTGATGGTTCCGTCAACATTAACTGGATTATGTGCACCAGGTGCCAGAAATTCCCTAAAATAATCCACAATAATTAGTTCCAATCAGACTGCCTTGTCAATTATGTAAATGTAATTAGGCCCGCTGTATCAGTTTCTCTGTTCTAATGATTCTATGTAGAACTAGGAGAAGAGTAATTACTTTTTTGACATTTTTTAGGTGACAAAAATAAAAATACCAGGCATATTTGGGAAGTTTGAAAGAATGTGATGTACTTCTTGAACAAATGAGCAGCAGTTTACTGGAAAATCCTCTTTTTCAAATGTCCCTCATACATCAATTTGTCATAAAATACCCAAAATACATGTACTTACGTAAATATTTCGTGTACTTTGCGGTGTACTTCCCTGATAGGTAAACCTTTCAATTCTTTACAAGCCAACCAAAATCTGTTAAAGGAATTCAACTTATCTTAACATTAAACAGATATAAGTAAATTACATATCTTTAACAATTAATATCCATATATTTCTATACAATCATGTCAGTACTTCTGAAAAAATCTGATTAATAACTAAGAAGTCAAATTATTCTGATAAAAGAATGAATCATAAAAATGCCAAAATAAATATCTAATAGTTTTCATTTGACATTTATACAGTCACTTACTTGAGATTTTCTCCACTAAATTCCTTGTCTAAAAATTTACTAAACTGGTCCTTTCCAGCAGGGTCTTTGAGTAATTCTTCTACAGTGAAAGCCCATCGCTTTACCCTCCGCTGGGGGATATCTCGGGGATTTCTGAGGGGAAAATGCAAGTTTTTACAATGGGGTGAGCAAACAACTTTAACTTCTTTGAAACTTAAAGAAAAGTTGCATATATCCCTATAGTCCACATTTTTTTACTCTTATTCCTTTAGAATACATCTGTCTTAATTTGCAACTAGAAACATATCACGACTCAATGAGTAACATAAGCTGCATTAAAAAATCTTATTTTAATTGAAACCTGTAATATAACTTAGTTTATATCTCATGATTAACAAAATGTAGTTTTAAAGCAATTGCATGCAATGTCAAGAATATGAAAGGAAAAAAAACCCCATCTGCTTGAATTTATTTTGCTGTTGGTTTATCCATGTTAATATAAACATTTGTATATATAACCAATTAAATATGGTACATCTTTGTGTATGTTGTTTTACTTACAGAGTTTTTTCCTGCTCCCAGAAATCTGTGCTGTCAGATATCCAGGGGTTAGACGGGTCGGGAGCAGTTATAAAAGCATCAAATTCTGCAAACTGCTCATAATACGCTAAATAACTGAAATACAAAAATACAACAAAGTTATTGTTATTTCTTTTTAAAGTTGACAACAGACAGACAAACAGGACAAAAACAATATACGCCCCCAATCTATTGATCCGGAGGCATAAAAAGGCCCTCTGTCGCTCTTGCTCTTTATCAGCGAAAGTTTGGACAACATAGTAACTTAAAGAATTAAGAATGAAATCACCATATCCTCATTCCTTTATACTCCTTACCTTTCAGTAACTTTTGATATTTTAACTCTTCTTTTTTCTAGTTTTTTCCTTAATAGACTTATCTAAAATATGAAAGAAAAGTAATTTATAACCAAAAACTAGAAAATAAATAAATAAAAATACATGTATGTCTCTTAAAGTTAAGTGTGCATAGGATACATGTACTTTTACAAATGCATTATTTAATCTTTTAACAAATGAAGTAGGGGATGTCAGGGACTACAAATGGATGCTATAATTACAAAGTACCATTCCTTCAATAGAACTAGATGGAGGCTAGCTGCCACAATGCTTACATGAATCTGAACTTGAATCAATATTGCATACAGATGCTTAATTCCCTATTATACATGTAGCCCTGCCCTTGCTGCATGCCATCACATTTACAAAACTGTACAAAAATTATGTGAAAATTCTTCATTTTTGATTTATCACTACCCTGCCATCTTATATGATATTCAGTGGAATCTTGATAATCTTGATAATCTTGATAATTCCGATGCCAATAATCAGGATACATGTACTTTTTGTTGGGAACATAAATTTACATACACCAACTACCAAACATTGAAATCCAGACAGTTCAATGCAGGTGTCTAGCTGCACATAAATTGTCTTTTCTGGCTTTATGGACAATGAGTAGAAGATGATTTTTCTTATCTCTTGCTGAAAAAGGTTGGGACCTTCCATCTGCACAAACATAACCTTTTTCACTAAAGGGTGCTTTATGGCACATTTGGTTGAAATTTACCAAGCACACACTAAAGTTCTTGTGGATATAAAAGGTTAAAAACAACAGGCTACAGACAGCTGACAAATCATGGAAAAAAATTTCCGAAAAACTAATAGAAGAGCTTAAAAAGGTTAAGAAATGAATCTAATAGCTCTCAAGTTTTACTGTTTAACCTAGGTTGGGACAGTTTATGCTTTCTAAACTGTATCCTTATAATTTAATGTTCTATGAAACATTTAAGTAGACAATAAGACAATTTCTCATTAAAAAATGCCTTAAGTTGAGCACATTTTAAAAGTAACGTAAAACCTGGCAGGTATGTTCTTGACGTAAGTTTTCGTGACATAGGCAACATGTTGTATGATATACCGGTAATCAAATTTTGCATTCAATCAAATGGCCTGTTACAACCAAAATTAAATTATAAGAAGATAAAGAAATATAACTGGTTCTTACATCATGTCGTATATTGTCACATGGATTACATAAATCAGCTTCCGATATGCTGGGACTTATTCTGCCTCCAGGCACTGCATAATTTGGCTAAAAAAATATGACTAATCAAAATATTTCATTCAGTTTTTTAGCATTTATGGTTCAAAAGTAGGAAATCATTATAATACAAAATATCAACTGAAGGATAAATATTTTTAAAAGTATGAAAAAAAAAAAAATCAAGAAAGTACTTTATACATTGATGTTTGCATTCCAGAAAACTGCAAGAGTAGATGGCATTTAACACAATTATATTTAATGAACTAAAAAGTGCATATTCAGATTACAAGTGAAAAATAAATAAAGAGAAAGAGCCATAAAATCAAGCAAATATTTAAAAAAAAAATATAAGTATAGTATTCAATAAATAAAGAATTCACCAAATAAGATTGAAAGATAAGCCACTAATACAGAGATACATGTACTCTAATTAGATTACCAGTACATAAATATCTTTTTCAGTGATTATCTATAGATGTATTTCATTATATCATGATGTACTTGTTTCCCTTGCAATAAAAAATATGACTACTTTTTATAATCATTATACGTTTATAGATTTAAGGGAAAAACTCTGAAGAAATCCTGATGTACTGGTCCCCCCTCTCTTTTTTCTGCTGTAACTGAAAACATCATGATAAAATGAGATGTGAAAACAAGTCGTTTCTATACCAGATCTACAGAAGTGGTCATGCCTCAGTCTGAAGTCAGGTCTGCTTGGCGGGCACCATGCACTTACCATGCTACTTACGCGAATCATCTTGGTGTGTCGATTCATTCGACATGCTTTCTTAATGTCTACTTCAGTTGTATTTACACAACCTGGCTACAAAAAAAAATGTATAATCAAAGTACTGAGAACAGGAAAAGGTTATTTACCACATAATCACTTTGTCTGCTAGATATTCAGAAGTGAAAAAGGTTTTTAGAAGAAGTATGTTGATATCTTTGTTGTATCCAGCATCTGAAAAATGTCTAGTAGTGTTCTTAAGAAAAATGTATACAAGTGAACAATAACAAATAATGGGCACATTTCAGTTCAGGTAAGCTAAAACTCAAAGTTATCTCAAAGCAATGTGGTTTCCCTTTATTATTATACATATACAATGAATGTAAAGTAAAACACTGAATGCAGATGTGAGGTAACCTACCACTGGTCTGTGGACATCCCAGAAGGCCCGCTCCTGACTGTCCAATACCTTCCTCTCCAGTTTATCTCTCTTCTTGTCCACTCTAACAGGAAAATCATAAAATAACAAAAATCACTCAATATTACTGTGGCCAAAGCCAAGATGACAAAAAAAATATGATGCCTGCCCAGTTTTTACGACAATTTTGGAAACCTTAATCTGTGATATTGTAATACAACTAGAGCAAAGCTCGTTGCAAAGCAACGAGTAGGTCTTCCGTCCTGTTTGACCGGAAGTAGCTTTCATTTTTAACAAAAATGAGAAATAACGCCCAAAAATGCTTTGAATCCTCTAAAGCTATGTTAATTAATGAAAAATAAGCCATTTTTTGCTACTTCCGGTCTAACCGGAAGTGACGACGACGCATGGAAAATTAATTTTTAAGCTCCCAGAGACATATGTTACCCAAAAACTTGTCCAAAACGGCAAAAATACGCGTTTTCCGACTACTTCCGGTTTGGCCGGAAGTGACGACGCTGAACGTATTTTGACGACTCTATTAGATTAAGCTTGACATTTTCAACAACTTTGCTTCTTTGATGTATAACAAATTCTCAATACTTTTTGAGATATCTGGAAAAAACTTTTGGCCCCTTAGATCCCTTAATTTAGGGGTCAGCCCTTTTTTCAACATATCATTTGAAAGATCTTCTAATTCTGCACAAATGATGTTCTATATATTTTAACAAAATATTTTTAGTTTAGAAGATAAAAAGCAAAATATGAGTAATTTTTGGCTCTTTTAAGCGTTCTAATTTTTGACCCCTATATAGTGCCATTTTGAATAGAGAAATCGAAAAACAAAAACCGATGTGCACAACTTCAATCCTTCTATTATCTAAAATCAGTAGAATTTCTGCTCCAGCTTTAGCCGTCTCTGAGCCTTTGTCTGGAAACGAAAGCCTATAAATTTTCATTTAAAGGGAAATAACTCAAAACTGGAAGTGACTTTTTGAAATTCTAGTCAGCAATCTGATAGAGTTTATAAACGTCCATAACCTCTGAAAATTTGAGCGAAATCCGTTGAGAAATGAGTGAGATATGAGGCCTCAAAGTTGCGGTCTAGGAAGCAGAAGAAAAAAAAGAATAATAATCTTTACCAACAGAATCAGTAGAAGGTCTTCCATTGGAAACGGAAGACCTTAATTATTTATCTCAGTGTAGTCTACACATGCCAAGTTATATGAAAATCAGAGCAGACTGAAGGAAGAGTAGTGCTTTGAAAGTATTTCACAGAAATTTCTATTTTTAGTAACAATGTCAACACTATATAATTCACTGATATAAAAAAATATATAGAATTATGTATCCAAAAGTTGTCTACTAGTGTCCCAAGTAATGTTGAAACTAGACCAAAACTGTAAGAGTAGTAGTGTTTTGAATGTTTCACAGAAATTTCTTATTTTTGGTAACCATGGCAACACAATTCATTGCAATCACCATTCATTGCAATCAAAAAAGATTAAAAGAATTAAGTACCATAGGGAAGTCTACTTTTGAACCAAGTTTTATTAAAATCAGGCCAAAAATGTAGGAGCTGTGGTTTAAATGTATTTCACAGAATTTTCTATCTTGAGTAACCATGGCAATGCCATTCATTAAAAGAAGCATCTATCATTTGCAAAATGAGGCATATTATGTTTATATTTAATATACAGTATATGGAAAAAGTTTCCCCCAATTTTATGCTAACATTTTTTTTTATTCACTGTTGTCCTATGCACTAAGATTCCAAGAAAGTTTGTAACTCTGACCGAAATTTATGTGCTCTAGCTATTTTACATTGTCCTCATGCAGCATGTTTAATGTGGTTTTGATTAAACTTGATGAGTTGGTGTTTTATATTCTGGAGAATATTCTACTAGTTTGGATTAACATGAGATACATTGCAACAGTCACTTGTATATCAGGCTAGCCTTACAGTACTTAGGTTAACTGTACCCATAGTGCCTAGCTACTGCAAAACACACAATAAACTCCCAGGAAGATTAAATTATCTTTTTAGCACAAATTTTTACCACCTTGATCTTTAATAAACAATATGAGACCTTTAGGGAAGTTAATTAATAAACAGTTTTAATTATTGATTATCAATCATGCATCCTTAATTCTCCAATAATAAATTAAGGTTTTAGTTCTTTAATTAAAACAAAAATTACCATATGCAAGGTTGTCTGATCAAGAGTTTTCAGCTAATTAATAATTCACAGTTTTACTTTCTAATAGGTAGCTTTTTAATTCTATGGCATTCACAATTTGTTTTGCTCATTAAGTGCATCGAGCTCTAGTCAAGCATCGTGCACAAATAGCCATCTTCGAAACAACACTACTCATAATTCTACTGACCAATCAGAAACCACCGATCCATAACGGAGACAATCATATTTAAATTGTGTGGGCCCTGTATCAATACATATATCATGAACACCCTGGATTACAGAGTACAGAAGATCTTTAAGAAGACTATAGCGCTAGTCCTCCTCATTTACAGATACACCCACACGAAGATTCCATTGGCTTACTTGGCCTGGGCTTCTGCTTGCATATAGATGAACTCCCATTTTCTGGAGAACATCTTCTGAAGTCTGGCCAAGTTTTCTGCCTCGTAATCGGCCAGCTCCAATCTCTGTTTGTTTTGCATTGTTCTCTTGCATAAGTAAACAGCTACAAAAGACAAAAATAGGAACTGGACATTAAAAACATGTCACAGATATACCCTGCTAATACTATTTCATATTGCACCTAATATCACAATTTCAGTCTTTCATGGTAGTGCAAGTGTACTGGAACATTATGTAGATGTGATTTCCTGTACATAATACAGATTTTGAAAAGAAACATGAGTTTGCCAGATACATGTATTTAGTTGCCTGATAAAATTTAGAACTATATCAAACAAATTGTTCAGCAGATACTGAACCAAAAATTTGAAGAGGAAAATATTACTTACCGGTACATTGCTTACATTGCTTATTGAAATTTATGCAATTCAAAGCATTTTATGATTTGCCAGTATACAGGAACTCATCATAATGTACGTGCTTACATACAAATCATTACAACAGTGTCAAATGTTAATCTATTGTTTTCCCACAAATGTGTCTATGATCTTTTTGGTCGTCTGGCAGATTTTTGTTATTAGGTATTTTTATAATTCTCTTTACTCTACTGTTAATAATGTCTGTAGTTTTGTATACTCTTTTACAATATCCATTACTGATAGTGCACATGAACTGGTGCATGTAAGTCATCACGTATATCAAGTTGCTGTAATTTATGGAAGAGCAAGCATATATTATACTGCTACTTAAGCATATATATACATATATGTACTAAAAAAGGGTTTACATATCATGACATGAATGCCCATTTCATTACATTTTATAGGTACTCAATTCCCAACAGGCACAGTGCAGTAAGCATACTATTTAGAACTAAAAAAGTTTGGAGGTAAATACAGTAAAATTTGTTTAATATGAACATGGATATTGCAAATTTAGGGATATAGCAAAATTATTTTGGATGCCCAGCAATATAAAGAAGAAAGAAGGGTAAGAGCCAAAATCGGCCCTGTCCCTAAATCCAATGAAATTGTTCTTGAAACATGTCTAGAGTATGACCACTTCCTAATTCATTTTAATTTTTTTATCATTATCTCAAACCATTTCTCCAAGAGAGCTCTTTAAATATAGGGAGTTTTATTTAGATAATAAAATCATTGGGTATTTTTTTGTGGAACAATTATTTTAGGGTTTTCACAATTTTTTCTTATGTTACACATGATGAGTAGTGTAATAAATATAATTTGTGAAAAAAATGACCAACAAGCCCCGGGGTTATATATATGGGGGGGGGGGGTCTTTTCCACAAGTACCTGTGTGCATTGATTCTGATATTCAAATTTAGATATAAGTATGACAAAATCATGAGACATCTGCAAAGTAATCTGAAAGATCCTAAAATGCCTTTAAGGGAAATATTTGACAGAGATCCTGTGATTCATATAGAAAAATGTTTGACAGCAAATCTATGACTCTAAATTCCCCTTTGATAACATCCCAATATCTTTGAATAAACAGGAAGTATGTTCATTTAATGTCCCTTAGAGAATTTTTCAATCACATAGGGATGCCACCTTTTGCAATAGAGGGTTGCCAACATAACACCTATACTAGGCACTTGAGGCTTTTGAGCAGTGAGGGATCTTTTTTGAGAAAATATTAATCCAGATAAAATACTCCCGTAAAGAAACATATATATATATAGATATAAAGAGATCCTCAGATCCTTATAGAAGTAAAATGAAACATATTCTGGCTGATAAACTAGACACACAACTTATAGATACCTATAAAAGCAACATACCATAATCTGTATTTTCTGGTTCTCCACATCTAGATGGCCAAAAACAGGGTGTCTGAAAAGAAAAAATAACCATTATATAACTAAACAGTATGTGATTAATTTGATTTATTATAGCTGCATGGTCTGTATTTCTTCTACAAAGAAGCAAAATCATTTCTTACATGCAAAGTGGACCATTTCAAACTACAGCTTCATGCAAACACTTTCAAAAAGCAGTGATTGCATGACACATTATACAGACACATTCCCTGTTCCAAACTCATTCTGGCTAATGGGTTAATAACTTGAGGAAAAAACCTGATTTTACACAACAACAAAAATCTTTAATATCAGTATGCTTTTACTTCCTCTGACCTGTCATTTTTAGGAAAAAAAGGAAAAAAAATATTCTGCATTTCTTTCATTTCTAAAACACTTTGATCCATTTATTAGGAAGATAACCATTGGGCTTCATTTAAACTATAAAAGTACTACTGTACTCCAAAAGGTTCCAGACCAATTGATGAATCTGGGATTGCTCAAAATTGGAAAAAATAAATAAAGATAAAAAAATATACAATGAAAAGTTGCCAACATCAGACACATTGACAACAGAGACAAAGGCAAGAAAAACTTGAGTGGGAAATTAAGCTTTGAGTTTAAGGCCCAGATGAACTTAAGCTTAACAAAATTTTCATCATATAAACCCCCTTCCAAAGAAGAATGTGAGGGATTCTTGGAAATAATTGGGAAAAACACTCTTGGCAAACTACCTTGGTCAATAATGATGGTGACAATTGACCAACAAAGCTAACACTTATGTTTTGAGCAATGTCGTGACCTGTTTATTTATGGAGAAGATTCACAGTTGCTACTTTTGCAATATCTTTGATCTAGATGATGGAAATTGTTAAAAGGGGACATGAAATGAGATGATATTGATATATTGATGGAAGTGATATGCAGGCTAAAGGCAGGTCTTTTAGACCCTAATGGAATCAATAGAGAACACTGTCAGGAAAATAGCTCCGACTTGATTATCTGTGGTCTCTGCTTATGACATATACTGTACTCCAAGTCTGATTGTTTCCCCAATTATACTGCAGAGAAAAAAGCAATGTTTTAGGGGGATGGGTGGGCAAAGCATATAATGCTGTGTTTGTTTATGGGCTTTTGATCACGAATGACCTACTCTGTCATGAACTTCTTGATTGCTAGAGGGAAATGGAGCAATGTTAATATCTAAACGAATGAGTAAATAACCACAAATGTAACATCAGATTTGAACTGAAGACAGTAAGCTTCACCCATTTTTTCCTTTTTTTTAATAATCCGCTTCTTTGAAACTTGACCAGAAATCTTGTCAGACAGCTCTGTTTAAAATCCAGCTGCTGTTGCATGGTGATAATACTTAAACAGGAATTTGGCTTTCCAATGTAATACTAGCTGCCCACATCAATATTCCTCCATTATAAATTTGTACTGAAATGATTTCTTTGCATGAAAGAATGTTGCTTTAAACAGATCAATCAGGTCTGTTAGCCAGCATTTCCTTGCTGTTTCTTTCTGGGTTTTATGTCCTGAATCTCTTACACTGTGCATAAGGGACTTTATGAACTCTGAAGAGGATTAGGGAAATCTTAACTGATAAAGTAAACAATTTGTTGCTGAAACTTATCAAGATATACAGTAAATGCACAATGATTTACTCATTAGTAACTTTTTTGCATTTTTTCCCATAAAACAGAGTAAAAGGATATTCCTTCCTCATCAACGTTAATTATCAGAATAAAGAATCCTATAATTACAAGAGGCCCAGGGGCCACAGCGCTCACCTGAGCACATCAGCTAGGAAAAAACACATATCAGACCGGACCTGAAATTTAACTTAAGTTGGGGGGGGGCTTGAATTTTAACCCCAAAGGGATCATAATTTGAACGAACTAGAATCTACATTACCTGAGGATGATTCCATACAAATATAACTAATCCTGGCTTTGAAGCACTTGAAAAGAAGATTTAACAAGAGGCCCAGGGGCCACAGCGCTCACCTGAGCACATCAGCTAGGAAAAAACACATATCAGATCAGAACTGAAAGTTAATTTAAGTTACACAATCCCCAAGGGGATCATAATTTGAAACTAGAATCTACATTACCTGAGGATGATTCCATACAAATATTACTAATCCTGGCTTTGAAGTACTTGAAAAGAAGATTTAAAAAGTTTCCCTATATATTTCTATGTAAAACTTTGGTCGGCCATTTTGGCCACACCCTTACCCCGGGGTCATGACTTGAACAAACTTGAATCTACACTACCTGAGGATGATTCCACATGAGTTTCATCTTTCCTGGCCCAGTTGTTCGTGAGAAGAAGATTTATAAAGATTTTTCTTATATATTCCTATGTAAAACTTTGATCGGCCATTTTGACCCCGCCCTACCCCCGGGGATCATGACTTGAACAAACTTGAATCTACACTACCTGAGGATAATTTCACATGAGTTTCATCTTTCCTGTTTCGATGGTTCTTGAGAAGAAGATTTTGAAAGATTTTTCCTATATATTACTATGTTTTAAATTTTGATCGGCCATTTTGGCCCCGCCCTACCCCCGGGGGTCATGACTTGAACAAACTTGAATCTACACTACCTGAGGATGATACCACATGAGTTTCATTTTTCCTGGCCCAGTGGTTCTTGAGAAGAAGATTTTTAAAGATTTTTCCTATATATTCCTATGTAAAACTTTGATCGGCCATTTTGGCCCCGCCCTACCCCCGGGGGTCATGACTTGAACAAACTTGAATCTACACTACCTGAGTATAATTTCACATGAGTTTCATCTTTCCTGTTTCAATGGTTCTTGAGAAGAAGATTTTGAAAGATTTTTCTTATATATTCCTATGTAAAACTTTGATCGGCCATTTTGGCCCCACCCTACCCCCGGGGGTCATGACTTGAACAAACTTGAATCTACACTACCTGAGAATAATACCACATGAGTTTCATCTTTCCTGTTTCAATGGTTCTTGAGAAGAAGATTTTTAAAGATTTTTCCTATATATTCCTATGTAAAACTTTGATCGGCCATTTTGGCCCCGCCCTACCCCCGGGGGTCATGACTTGAACAAACTTGAATCTACACTACCTGAGGATGATTCCACATGAGTTTCATTTTTCCTGGCCCAGTGGCTCTTGAGAAGAAGATTTTTAAAGATTTTTCCTATATATTCCTATGTAAAACTTTGATCGGCCATTTTGGCCCCGCCCTACCCCCGGGGGTCATGACTTGAACAAACTTGAATCTACACTACCTGAGGATGATTCCACATGAGTTTCATCTTTCCTGGCCCAGTGGTTCTTGAGGAGAAGATTTTTTAAAAATGCCAATAATTTTTCTCTAAATCATGATTATCTCCCCTTGGAAAAGGGTGTGGCCCTTCTGAACAAACTTGAATCCCCTTCACCCAAGGATACTTTGTGCCAAGTTTGGTTGAAATTGGCCCAGTGGTTCTTGAGGAGAAGATGAAAATGTGAAAATACGACAATGACGACAACGACAACAACGACAACAACGACTACAACGACGACAGACAACGGACAAATTTTGATCAGAAAAGCTCACTTGAGCCTTCGGCTCAGGTGAGCTAAAAAGGTTTCCCTATATATTTCTATGTAAAACTTTGGACGGCCATTTTGGCCCCGCCCTACCCCCGGGGGTCATGACTTGAACAAATTTCAATCTACACTACCTGAGGATAATTTCACATGAGTTTCATCTTTCCTGTCCCAGTGGTTCTTGAGAAGAAGATTTTTAAAGATTTTTCCTAAATATTCCTATGTAAAACTTTGATCGGCCATTTTGGCCCCGCCCTACCCCCGGGGGTCATGACTTGAACAAACTTGAATCTACACTACCTGAGGATGATTCCACACGCGTTTCATCTTTCCTGTTCCAGTGCTTCTTGAGAAGAAGATTTTTAAAGATTTTTCATATATATTCTACGTAAAACTTTGATCGGCCATTTTGGCCCCGCCCTAACCCCCGGGGGTCATGACTTGAACAAACTTCAATCTACACTACCTGAGGATGATTCCACATGAGTTTCATCTTTTCTGGCCCAGTGGTTCTTGAGAAGAAGATTTTTAAAGATTTTTCCTATATATTCCTATGTAAAACTTTGATCGGCCATTTTGGCCCCGCCCTACCCCCGGGGGTTTGAAAAAATTTCAATCTACACTACCTGAGGATGATTCCACATGAGTTTCATCTTTCCTGTCCCAGTGGTTCTTGAGAAGAAGATTTTTAAAGATTTTTCCTATATATTCCTATGTAAAACTTTGATTGGCCATTTTGGCCCCGCCCTACGCCCGGGGGTCATGACTTGTACAAACTTTAATCTACACTACCTGAGGATGATTCCACGTGAGTTTCATCTTTCCTGTTCCAGTGGTTCTTGAGAAGAAGATTTTTAAAGATTTTTCCTATATTTTCCTATGTAAAACTTTGATCAGCCATTATGGCTCCGCCCTACCCCCGGGGGTCATGACTTGAACAAATTTGAATCTACACTACCTGAGGATGATTCAAATGATTTCTTTCCTGTCCCAGTGGTTCTTGAGAAGAAGATTTTTTACGATTTTTCCTATATATTCCTATGTAAAATTTTGATCGGCCATTTTGGCCCTGCCCTACCCCCGGGGGTCATGACTTGAACAAACTTGAATCTACACTACCTGAGGATGATTCAACATGAGTTTCATCTTTCCTGTCCCAGTGGTTCTTGAGAAGAAGATTTTTAAAGATTTTTCCTATATATTCCTATGTAAAATTTTGATCGGCCATTTTGGCCCCGCCCTACCCCCGGGGTTCATGACTTGAACAAACTTGAATCTACACTACCTGAGGATGATTCCACATGAGTTTCATCTTTCCTGGCCCAGTGGTTCTTAAAGAAGATTTTAAAAATATGCCACCAAATTTTCATTTATTCCCAATTATCTCCCCTTGAATGAGGGCGTGGCCCTTCATTTGAACAAACTTGAATCTCCTTCTTCCAAGAATACTTTGTTGCAAGTTTGGTTGAAATTGGCCCAGCGGTTCTTGAGAAGAAGTTGAAAATGTGAAAAGTTTACAGACAGACGGACAGACAGATGGACAGATGGACGCCGGACAAAATGTGATCAGAAAAGCTCACTTGAGCCTTTGGCTCAGGTGAGCTAATAAAAACTAGTACATGTACTACACGTATTTACAAGAACCTATTGATTTACAACTAATACTAGTGTTACTTTTTAACAAGAGGCCCACAGGACTTATAAGTCACCTGAGAATCCCGTAACAACTTTCCAACAATTAAATTTGATTCGTGTTTTAAACCAGAGGCCATGAAATTCAAAATTTTGAAAGAGGCACCATTGCTTATCATAATTATACACTTAGCATGCTTACTTTGGTTACTTATTACCCAAAGGTAGATCAGAGCAATAAAGCGAAAATGCATTTCCACTTTGTAACCCAGCTGTGCACCCATCGCACAGGAACCACTGACCTTGGGGCCACATATTTCAATAATTTTGGAAATTTTAACATGAATTTTATTTCATCATAAATCATTCATTAATATCAAAGTGCAGATTTCAAAGCATTAATTTATATTCAGACTATGTACCCTAACATCCCCCCCTCTCCGAATATCTCTGACCCAGGGGCTCAGAAATTAACCATTTTGGAAGAGGCAGCTTTTTTTATCATAAATATGTACTTAGATCATTGGTATAATACCCAGGAGCAAGGGGAGAGGCAGGGTGGGGATGGGTGAGAATGGGTTCCACAAATAACTTGATGGGGAGGGGCAGGGTGGGGATGGATGAAAATGGGTGCTACAAATATCTTGCTGGAGAGGTGCGGGGTGGGGGTGAGTGAGAATGGGTGCCACAAATTACTTGCTGGGGAGGTATGGGGTGGGGTAAGAATGGGTGCCACAAATATCTTGTTGGAGAGGTGCGGGGTGGGGGTGAGTGAGAATGGGTGCCACAAATTACTTACTTGGGAGGTGCGGAGTGGGATAAGAATGGGTGCCACAAATTACTTGCTGGGGATGTGCGGGGTGGGGTAAGAATGGGTGCCACAAATAACTTGCTGGGGTGGTGCGGGGTGGGGTAAGAATGGGTGCCACAAATAACTTGCTGGGGAGGGCTGGGCGGGTAAGAAAGGGGAATGGTACACACAATGCTGAGTTGACTGATATAATGTAGGTCAGTTCGTCATCTTATACCCTTTTTAACTGTTGGATCTTTACTTTTGCATTGAAAAGTGAGTGATTAATTTTTCCAGAGTCCATGTAGAATTCTTTATATCTGTGTATCATGTTTATATTAATTAAACATATTTATTTTTGATAAAACCGAGAAACTGACAAAAAAAATTTCATTTCATATACCTTTGCTTTCATAAATCCGATATACCTTATCATACAAAGACTTTTTACAGGTACACATCTACATATATAATAGTATCAGGCATGTTTTAATTACCTGGAATCTGTAGTATGTGTTATCATTCTTGACAATCAGGTAGTGGTCATCTATAGGGAAGAAATAGCCATGGGATGCCATCAGAGTGGCTACATGAACTGCCTCTACTGAAACAAGACAGCATTGTTTTAATTAAGTTTTTACCAATGTAACAGTTGAAAGTCTTGCAACATAGTTGAAAAAAAATATGTGCAAGTATTAGAACAACATTTTATTATCATATTATGTTTACCACCTTATCTCAAGGATATCATTGAATGGATATATTTTTCATACGCATGTACCACTGCTGTGACATGTACCACAATGGTTTTTGCATGAAATTTAAATGATGAAGTAAAAATGTGGATTCATATCTAAAAACAGATCCCCCCTTGATTTGCAATTGGATATAATTTTTTTGTGTTTTTAGTCCCTCGCCAAGGCTTGAAGATATATCTTTAAAAAATACACACCTTGTTGGATAAAAATCAAATTCAACCACAAATCATGTAAATTTAACCAGTATTTTGTCTCAATTAATTAAAATGATTCTAAATTAATTACTCTCAATTGCCACATTTGTAATTTTCACTAACTGATCACATGTAAATGTCAATTATTCACAGGATTTTCTTGCCATTCCTTTGAACATGGACTTTCCCTGTTTACTTGTTTTTCTTGATTTTATTAACCACGTATAAAGGATTCTGATCATTAATACAGCTCCGACCTATACACTAACCTTGATCATCGACATCTATATTCTTCATGATCCATGTGATTAGATCAGCACCTGTCAAAAACAAACAGAGCAATCAATGGGAGGTACTGTCTGACCACATACATGTATAGAATACCCCTTATCTTCTATATGAATCTCATTTCTTTTCTCTCTCTCTCTCTCTCTCTCTCTCTCTTGCATGCAATGAATTACATATGCACAAATCTCCATCTTAGCCAGGCAAAAGTTTTTTTTCTCATCTGGTCATCCAAATAGAGGCCTAACACCCCCCCCCCCAAACACTTCACCCAAGCAACTAAATCTTTTAGTGAAATGTTAAGCCCCCATATTAAATCATGTCAAAATTTCAGTCTTAACTAGTGCTTATACTAGCACATAATCATCTGTTTTCTGCAGGCTGTAGAGAAAGAAGAAACAATTTTTTGTTTTTCTAAACATATTTTCCTCAGGAAAAAATATTGGCAGGTGATCATACGTTTTCTGCTATATCAGAATGTACTCTTACTGTATTATCTTCAATCTAAGATCAAATCAAAACATAATCAGAGGGAAAAAAGCAACTCAATCGAAGCACACAAAAAAAAACCTAAGCAACAAAAATATACTTAGCAACTCTTTCACAACCCCTGCTTGCATTGACAACTACATGTATCTAATTGAAAGGGGGGGAAGCTGGGATTTAGTCTGTCATGTATTTGGAAATATCCAGGTGGCTAGCGCCTAATAATCTTAACCTTTTCATTAAAGCAACCCATAGCTTATCAAGGCACAAATAATACAGATAAAAAAATCATACCCATCAAGGACTACAGGTTTTTTAAAAACATTTTTTACCTTGACCTGTAAGATAAGACCATAACTCATCATTTACAATCTTGAATTAATTCCTGCAACCTTGCTCCAAATTAACCTAATCACCACTTGAAACAGAAATATTGATGTTTGCTCTACATTAATTGTGGACAAGAGAAATTCATGATAGTAAAATCTTAATGTCTGCACTTGAAAGAGAGTTTACAATATGGGTTCTGTGGATGACATCAGCTCACAATAATTGTGGCTCGACTATAGCATATACCGATATATAGTTCCACATTGAATCAAATTCCCTTAACAAATATATGTATGCATGTACTCAGTTAGGATTATTTATAGAAAATGCTACCCTTCAGCAATTATAGTTATCCATTACTTAAAAAAAGAAGAAATCTGCATGGTTTAAAAAAATAACCTCAAGCTTTAATGAATCAAAACCGGTACATCATATCTCAGTTATATAGATTTTTTTCTCATACATAAAGAAAACTCTGACAGAATTTTTTTTTTGTACTGCTGCTCAGAAGATTGGGAAAAAAATCTGCATCTGCCATCATGTAAATATTTACAAAGAGATAAAACTTTGCACCTTGAGGCCCCAACACTAGCCCACCAGGATAGCTGATCAGCCATTCAATACACCACGGCAATGTGTCAGAGGAATTCTGGTAAAACCCCAGGACTAAGCTCAGTGCTAAAGTACACCTAGATCATCCATTATCAGGCCAGGAAAGTTGACTTGATTGTAGCAATTACCGACACAGGTAGTGAGTGATGATAGCGGAGACCTGCCTTCATCACAGGAACACTTATAAATCCAGCGATATTTGATTTGCTGTAGCTGTAGCGTGTCTGTGGAACATGAGAAGTCAGAGAATCGGGTGTTCCTTTTTTACCGCTTTCATTTACAAACAATTGACTATTCTTATCACACTAGATCACTAATGGAGATAGTAAACTGGTGATACAAAATTTAGGACACACTGCATTTATTTGTCAAAAATAAAATAATGACCTCCTTTCAACATTTTTTTTTTCAGTTTTTTTTTCTCCATAAAAAATAATAGCAACTTCTAATGGTGGCTAGCCAACATAGTTGTGAAATAAACAGGTATTTAACAAGATTACCATATTTTACTAAAACAATTTAAGTTACTGTAAATTGTTGGTTCCTACATACAAAGAGATATTTGCAGGTATAGTTAATAAAAAATTAAGAAATATATTTCAACACATTTGCCTTCTTAGCCTCTACGGAAGGCCTAATTAACTACATGTCATATCCAGCTTCTGCAGACTACACAAGATATTGTTGTGGAGTTAGGATATAAAACAGCTGACTTATGAACTGAAACAACAGGGTTCAAAAGAATATATCGTTGGCTAACTAGTCTGACTGATAATTATTATCTGTATAGTATTCTTATGATTTAAGTTGACATCATTTGATGAATAAAATGCTGAAAACTTAATACAGCAGATCTTCTGGAAGATTTAGTGTAGAAGAAATGAACATTTTGGGGGAAAAAAACCCAGGTTTTCCCAAACCAATCCATACTTGCAAAAGATACACCAAGGAACCTTTGCTGATTCTGACCTCTAGACAATCTGTTTCAATGAATATCAAGCAGGAGTTCTACTGACACTGGTTAGAAACCTTTATATAGCTGAAAACATGTGACTTCTGACATTTTAACCTGAAAATCAAGGTCATTGTTTTATCATAACTTAACTAAATATTGACTATATATTAACACATATAATAAGTTAAGAATTTTCAATACTGATGAAATACCAAATATTTGATATAAATTTAAAGGAAACTGTGCAACCTTTGATCTCAAAAATATTTTGACACCTGCAAATTCTGAATGACTTATTTTAAAGTTTATTTGATGTAGATATGGCAGAAAACCACTCAACTGTTAACCTTTAGATGGAAAATCAAAAGGGGTCATATTAAGGCAAACCTGTGGTCAAAGTACTAATAAACAAATTGTTTTTGAGATACTGGTCGGCAATCGGGGACATAAAAATTTCTCCTAGCAATGTGCACTTGTTTGATGCAGGCTTTTTAATGCCTCTATTGTGACCTTATCTTTGTTGGCATGCCTCTTTAATGCTACTTCCTAACATCCATCCTTCCAAGCTTCCTTAGCCTATTGTTTATTACATTCCTCTTCAAACTGTAAGTTCATATAGAAGACACAAATCTTATTGTTTTCAGAAACTTGCATATAGCCTTTACTAAATGATTTCTTGGAAGTAAACTTCTTGGGGGCCAATGAGGGAGAAAAATAAAACATACTGAAGTCATCACATCTGTAAACTCTAGATAGGTGGAAACCATATTTCCAACATATTTCTGATTATACTGCTTACCTGTAAAAACACTTGGCACTTTGGACATAAAACTCTTGACAGTTCTCACTGGTACACCTGTACTCTCATCCTGCATCATCTCAACAATTCTCTCCATCTGTCAAAGACAGGCAAATCAGATATCAATAAAGTGTTTACAGTTTTTTGGAATTCAGGTGTTAAAATTCTTGTAAATACGTTTCCTCAAAAATGCATTTTTTATTTTATTTTAAAATGCTTTGCTGCACAAATACAAGGATGTACACAGAAAAATGAGTTACACAGTTGTGCACAATATGATTAGTCAGAAAACTGTACCGTATATACATGTACCATGAATAGCTGTTCAATAAAAAATACATGGTGAAGCAAATAAATACTTGTAATTTGTATAAAATAGGTTTTAAATTACACTCTAATTCCACAGTTCTTTCTGAATTTAGCAATTGATTCAGCTGTCATTATTATCCTCATCACAAAACTAAGAATATTGATTTGGTTAGAAATGTTCACAGTTATTAGGGCTGGAGTGCGCAGCACCTGTCTATCAAATTACTGACCTCTCAATGCTACCTTAACACCACAGCATTTAACAAACTGATCAGCTTATAGATGAGATTAAGCAAACCTTCAATACACAAAATTAATGTCATATTTTAAACCAATTTCAATGATTGAGTAGAGTACTGGTTAGATTAGCAGCAGATCTGAAGCTGCTGGTCTGAATAAAATTAGAACAGATGACCAGAACACTCAGCAATTTACTGTACCCAGTGAATCAGAATGTAACAGTACATAATTTTCTTTTATTTTGTTTTCAAGTAGCTTAGGCATTGTTCATCCATATTTTCCAATAGATTTGCCAGAAATACAGATAGATCAAGGTGCATGACTTAGACTAATTGAAAAATTAAAAATATTGCAAAATTTGTTTTATAGCTAGGCCAATACAGTAGAAGCATGTAAAAATGTTTTTGTATCATTTTCTAAATGTCTATTGTCCTTTAGCTTAATATCCTTGTTATTTACTTGCAAGAAATATTATCAGTACATGTATAATCAAGCTTAGTCACAAAGTGGTACTCTTGTTAATAAATGAAAGGTCCAAGGGCCAATACACTCACCTGTGTCAGACCAGATGTTATCATTCTCAATAGGTCATAGACTCAATATTTACCTAAATAAAGAAGTCATATAAACTACACAGGAACATTGGTGTATATATAATACCCCAGCTGGTATTTTCAAATGGTCCAGGAGTTATTCAGTGCCCCTAAACTTGACATGAAGCACCTTGTTTAGTTGAATATTAATGTATCATTGTTATAATTCTGAGTTTAGAAAAAAATTACATTTATTAAAAAAAACATTTGTTGCTTCAAAACTTTAGGTTGATCTTTTTAAAAAAAATTTTAACAAGCAAATGATATACTTTCAAAGGGCTATTAAGCTATATTTAGCTGCTTTAGGAAGTAATTAGGACAATATGGTAATTGATCCTTTGTCTTATTTCTCTATGACCTGAATTCCTCATCAAAAAAAAAAATACATTGTTCATATTCAAAAGTGGAGGCTACTCCACCCAACCAAATTACTGGTGATTTAAACAAGAGCCATTTTACCAATATTAACCTGTTTTCAACAGAAATTTCATTTAACATCTACCATTCAATGCTTCAAAAGAAAACACTGATGTTTATGATGTATTTGCATCATAGAAATATCTAATCAATTATTGCAAGAATAGGACTAAAAAGAATTTTATAAAACAAATTATACTTTCAGTTCAATTATTACAATTTTAAAAGAGAAATTTGTAATTTAATTTTTTCAAATACACAACTGTAGAAGATTTACTCAAACAAGATAATTCTATATCCGCTTTGTTCTAATGTGTCCTTGACCTTTCGTGAAATTCTTTTAATGATATTTAGCAACATGCCAAAACTGAGTATAAAACAGCTAAGCACATTTAAGCTGTGTATCTTTGAGTCAGGTGGGGAACATTTCAACATAATATTTACCTAAATCATTTCCAGTTTCATTATGTTCCTATCAATTACGTGTGAAATATGGAAAACACACTCCAAGGAATGCTGTACGGTATTCCAAGCTTCTAACAATGCCGTTCATTACTGCTCATCATTCACAGTTCTTAATGATTTCGTGTGTAATGAAATATTACAGTAATTTTTAAACAGTGAAGTATCAGGGAAGAACAATTTTGATACAAAAGTTCAACATATTTTATAAAACTACAGACAAGTCAAATAATTTCTCTGTTAAGCTTGAATTCATTATAAGCATTCTTGCCGTAACTAAGCTTAACTGTATTTGTAAAATAATCAGAGGCACCATGACTTTGGAAATTAGGAAGTTTCTCCCTTATCTGAAGCCTCTGACTGTAAAAATGTGTAATATATGGCTAAAAATAGAGAATCTGACCCACTGTGCTGAGTCCCTGTGGAGAATATCAGTAAATATTGGGAATGATGGATGATCCGATCGTACTAGGAAGTTTGTATTCTATGAGTTATTAAAATTACAAAGCTTAAAATTTGCCCATATTCTCCCTAATTTTACAGATCCTCAGATATGCAACAAGCATAGGAGTTTCATAAGAGTTTCATAAAAGAATTTTTCTAAATTTCCATACCCATCAATTTGTCGCTTCTTATTAAGCAGAAGTAAAAATTAGGTCTCATAAGAAAGTGAAAACTCGGGATGAGGAAAAAAAAAAGTAGGGAAGAAAGAAGAAAGATTGCACCCTTTCAGCAAAGAAAAAGTCTTTCGCACAAACTTCTAGTTCAGCTAGTTGACCCAAATCTTGCTCATATGACAAATACATTTCTGTAAATTAGCACAGCTACTCGCATTGATTAAAGCACCAAATTCCTTCATTATCAGATTACTGATGTATTATGGGATAAATTACTTTTCTTGCTGACCCAGATTTTACAGATCCCTGACTTACTGAAGCTGATGGAGATAGTTGTTTTAATAGGAGGCAGAACAACATACAAGATCAGTGAACAATCGTGGGAGGTGGTATGCCATGCTGCATATAGGAATGATAATTGCAATGTGCTTATTCTAAAATCAATGCCAGTTCATTTCTCTGATGACTTTTATCGCTGCTTTTTGGTCACAGTTTACGTCACAAAGTCCTGATTTAGGTCTGATATACTATTGCCTTGGTTCTTGAAAACAATTTTTTATTCTTTAGTTTGTGGTAACTCAATAAAAGAGTTCAGTGTAAAAATGTTCTTTTTAAAAAGATTTCATCAAATCCATTATGATATATATCGCATATTTATATTATTTTTTAATGCAGTGATCCTAATTATATATTTTTTAGCATGTTAAAAACTTTCATGCTTGAATATAATTGATTGTCTAAAAGAATTCAGAAAAATAAATTGATACAATCTTTAAGTCACATTCACAAACATTCAAAGCAAACTTGGCTTGTGAAGAAAATATCAGAAAAATAATCATGTGTACCTATCAATGAATTAATACAGCATTAGCTCTTTAAAATATAAAAATATGAAACTCAACCAGAACATACATGGTGATGGTCCTAAATCTGCTTTATTGATTTAAGTATATACAAATAAGTGTTCATATTTCAGTCCATGATGAGACCATTTTTATTATTACAATAGTGACGTCACGTTGCTCCAGGTGGCAGTGATTGTTCCATATGAGATTCTGGACAGCGATGCTCAGATTATCAATATATCTGCTAATATGTTCTATATAAAGCTGCACTGTCGTCATAATGACATGCTTTGCAAACAATGCCAAACTGAGGGTAAATAAATTTTTTATCATTACCAATCCAACTGCCTATGTAAATTGATCCTATTTGTGCTCTTGAAATAGCTCTTTTAAATGAACATACAATTTCATTTTAATATTAGGTGTTCATCGATTTCAAATAATCCCTTCAACAATGGAAACACTATAGGCAACATTTAATTAACAATTCTATTTTGAGTACCTGAACATAACATTCTTAATTTCTCTTACATATATAATTAACATAGACACAATGGTCAAACATGAAGAGAAAAAGATGCATGGCAAGAAAAAGTTCAGTTGAAACAATTCACCATGCAACAAACAGGTCTTTACAGGGTTGTCTTCAGAACAAAGTGGGCCCTTCATGTGTACACTTTCATAAAGCTGTGTAACAGCTCTTACATACAAACACACAGACCCACCTCACCCTCCTTCACATAATACAAGGCTCTGAATATGACATGTTATCATTACTGAGTTCACATGCGCATTTTACCCCCCTGGAATTTGCAAGGTTATTAAATTTATAGACTAAAGCAAGAAAAAAGTTACCTTGGACCCCCCGCGGAAAACGCAGATTCCCCATGGAAAATACGAATTTGTGTTGAATTGGTATGCAAAGTCAAAGGTCTGAAGCATTAGAAGTCATCAACTACCCCCACCCCCACAAAATAGGGTTTTGAAATTTGGACAAGTTTACATTTTTTTTTTTTATTTTTTTTTTGGGGGGGGGGGGGGACTGGGGTGGACCCCCCTGGAAAAAATATCTGGATCTGCGCCTGCTTCATTTTAGGATTCTTTCCATTGAAAAGTTGTGAAAGCAAAATTTTATTTTTCACAATTCTGGAGCCTATTACATCCATACATTTGACCAATGAACTTAATGGCAACTGGGGGGACCTTGAAGATGTAGACTGGTCAAAGACATAAAACTGGACTCTGTTGAAATTTCCATACATTGTATTTATTGCTTTTACTTAAGTAAATGGCACCCTGGGGCTTCAATGCTACATGAGGTATGATTTTTAATATGGACGCCTTAACCACTGATGATTATCTTAGTATCCAAAACATTTTCTGTTTCTTATTTCCTAGGTTTCTCTATGTTTTATATACTCTAATATTCTTTATCTCAAGTCCAACACTACCATCTTCATCTCTTACCCTAGCTGAAGATCTGTAGCATTATGGTTTTATATGTTTGTCTTTGACCATAACACTACAGATACCGTAATGCAAAAAAGGTGCAATTAACGGCGCAATATTTTTTGCGCACTTTTGGGGAGAATTTCTCCACTTTCTAGCTTTGGT